TTTTTATTGATTCGCGAAGTATTAAATAATAATAATAGACAGGGGATTAGATAATGAAGAGCATCTGCTTGCACGTCCATGAATAGACGTGCATAGTGCATGCTGCATGTTATTCTTGCATGTTATGCTTGCCGTTATCTTTGCTTATTCATTGAAATATTCTATAATAATATTACATGACTAATTCAGTTTTTCTTTGTTTCAGATGATCATCGAGGGATTAACCGTGGCCATTTTTATTATATTTATGCATCACATATTTTTACTACATTGATATTTATAGTGCAAAGATCTAATCTTTTATTGTTTTTTTTTGTTTCAGATGTGTGTTTCATCGATCTTAGCTGGAAGAATTCTTTTGAAAGGAGTACAATTCTTTGTTTTTGTGACATTTTGCATGTTATAACATAATATATTTGTTATCTAGTGTATTTGGTGGTTTAAATGTATGGATTTTAGAATGAACTGTTATTTTTAATGGTATCTAGTCCAATTGTACAGATGGTCAGGTTTTAGAAAATCCTCGTAGTTGTGGCATAGTCGTTTTTAAAATTATCGTGAAATCTGCTACGGACATTGTAAGGGAATTTTGTAACTGGAAGATCGGACGCTAGTGTCTCTATCTCGGTATCTTCGTCTTTCTGGTACGCTCGTTCTCACGAGTCCCGAGCTAATTGCCTGTGCAATTAAGAAGTCAGCGACAATTACGGAGATCCTTGGAGAGCAGAAGCATGCCGCAGCCGGTTGCACAGTCAAGCGGTCTGTCGCTATGCGTAAATGTCGCGATTAGCATAACTAAATCGTGAAAAGCCGTGATTGGCCATTGTAAGCCGCGACGAAATAGAGTTTTTATCATTTTCAACAATGCATTTATATTTTGGGCCGTTTAATCGTTTAGACAAAGGATCGTTGACCAAACATTTCTATGAACATGAGTAAATTACCATGCATCAAAACGTTGATTCGAGTAAAATGAATGAATATCGATCGTAAGAAAAAGATATAATGGGATAAAAGAAAAGTGAAAAGAGGGAAGGAGTATCAAAAGCTTTCATCAAATTGAGTTTCTTTAAGCAAGCAGCCCGGCAAATCGTTCTTCTCTGAAATCGTCAAACACGTTTATTCTCAAGAGACAGAACAAGTAGCGAAGTAAAGAAGGGGAAGGATGAGAAGAGGTAGACGAAGTTCGCATTCGTGTTCCCCCGGTGTCTCGACGACTTCGTGCAGAAACAGTAAGAGGGAGAGAAGAAGAAGAAGAAGAAGAAGAAGAAGAAGAAGAAGAAGACGAAGTTGAACATAGGGATCAGGTCTTCCGTGATTCGAGCTGTTCAGGATCGAAAATATAACGAGTCGATTTTAAAATTCCTACGTTCACCAGGATGTCATCCCCTCGTTTTTCGAAGTCGCAATTCTCAGCACGTTCCGAGAAAGTTCAGACATCCCAGGGTCCCATGGCCCCCTTAGAAAAGTTCACATCGAGCTTGTAAAGTCCTAATGAGGAGAGTCGACTCGAGATAAGGTTCAATTGCGAAAGAAAGGAAGAGAAAGAGAGAGAGAAACGGACTTGGCATAATTTTATCGTCGTTTTGTCGTTTATAGAAATCCGATTTTCACGTCGAATTCTAAGAGAAAAGAAGGAAGAAGAAGTAGAACAAGAAAGTCTCTTCTTATCCGCGATGCTGTGGAAACGCGAAACTTACTCGCGAGTTTCTTCGAATTTCCCTTTTTCTTTCCTCCCTCCCTCCCTTTCTCCTCTTTGGATTCTCCCGTAGAAGGTCGCCAGAGAATGGTGAGTAACTCGAGAACGAGAATGTATCTTGCTCCCTCTCGGGATCGCGACTCGCTCTTGCGGCCTGCTTCGAGGTCTGCTTCTTATGCTAATCCAAGCTCATGGGTGGGCCACACGCCCTCCGAGACACTGTATCTGAGAATCGAGGACTTCTCTCCTCTCCTCTCCACTCCTCTCCTCTCCTCTCCTGTCCTCTCCTTTCCTTTCCTTTCCTTTCCTTTCCTTTTCTTTCCACTCTTTCACTCTTGCTCCATTTCCTTTCGAACGATCCACGAGCAGCGCTCTCTACTCTAGTCGCTATTGGATTCAAGAGCCTTCCTTGTCGTAAAACAATTTCGCTCTTGCCTTTGAGAAACCGCGGTTTCTGTCGACGCGACACGTCTAACTCAAAGACTTTCTTTCTCGATGAAACAAACGGCAGGACATTACTTTTCTTCAATGTCAACTATTTCCTTGAGATTAAGACCGACAAGAAATTACGTGATCGCAGGAGTGAAATGTCGACAATTGACAAACGAGCAGCGAAGATTAAAATCTCTTGGATTCATTCATTACTTTCGGAACACGATCGTATACGTCGGATGTTATCGAACGTGCTGACCTATATAAATTCTTCCAGAAGAATGCTTCAACGAGATTTGAAAAGACTCGAGACTCCTCGAAATGTGGATCGGGTTCCTATAAAAACAGAGTAATGACAGGTGTTCCCAGCCCGGATTCCTCTTGAAACTTTTCTCGTCCCAAGAATGAGAACCAAACTAGATCGGATTACATCTATCTAAAAAATCTTTCTGGCTCATCAAACTTTCCGAGTATCTTACGGCACCTGTCCTCCACTTATTTTTTCTCTACTTATACTTAATCCTGAAGCATACATTGTTGGGATAATGCATGAAGAAAAAAGAAAAAGAGAAACTGAAAAAATGTAATTGGTGGATGATAATAGTCTTTTCCTTACGGTCCATAGGGGGATAATTAGAACGAAATTAAGCTAAAAGACAGCAATTAATAAGGAGGAGGGTCGACCCGAAAGAGACTGTTCGAGGAAATAAATACCACAAGAGTCAAAAGATAGGAGAGAGTGAGAGGTGGGTGGGTCTCTTTCCCTCGAAGCAATCCGAGCGGAAGATCTCGTTACGCAGCTTCCACTCGAGCCTGCGGCAGTCCAAAGTTTCACGAATGAAACGAAATGGTGCAAATTTCCACGAGCGAACACGTAGCAGCGCGTGATTCTCGTATAACTAGTATAACTGGCCGGCGGTAGGCTAGCACGCATCCTACACTTGTACTCTTCCTCTTTCTCTCCCTCTCTCCCTCTCTCTCTCTCTCTCTCTCCCCTGTCTCTTTCTCTCCGAGTTGTCTACTCCCATCGTAGAGAATGACAATACATGTCGCTCTTTCGGTTTAATTAAAGGCGCACTTCGCCGAATACAACCATACCCTTCCACTTTGCTTCTCTTTCTCTCTCTCTCTCTCTCTCTCTCTCTCTCTCTCTCTCTCTCTCTCTCTCTTTAGCTTTGGTATCTATCTATCTATCTGTCTATCTCTTTTACTTCACAGCGCACGTAGAGACACACGTACGGCTGAAACGTACGTTGCTTAATGGAACGCTGCGTCTGCCACCCTGTAATGGCACGACACTTTGCACTTGCGCCAGTAGCTCGCTAAATAGCACTATCGCCCAGGGCGGAGAATCCAGAGCCAAATAGCTAGGTGGCTAGCGAGGGAGAGTAGCGGTGGCAGCTGCTTGCCAGCTCGCTCGCTTCGTTAGATTTTCGAGTCGCTACGTTCGCCTAGTAGCCTTTTTACCAAAGCTCCGAAGCCCTCCGGAGAAGTAGCTTGCCTCGATGCGAATTCTCGTTGAACTTTCTTTAGATAAGAGGAATTCACTTCTTCTTTTTCTCTTTCTCTCTCTCTCTCTCTCTTTTTCTTGCTCTCTCTTTTCTTTTTCTCATTCTTTTTCTGTTCGATCGTTGGATTCTTGTCGAATCCGCACGGATTACCAACGTTTCTCTTTGGCTTCCTGCAATTTTTTTTTTCTTTCAAGAAGAGAAAAATCTTTGGGATAGGACGGTTAAGCCTTTTTACATAGATTTTACAAGCATTTTCCCTTCTTTGCATAAATCCTTCTCGTTGAAAAAGTTAGAAAAGCGTGCAACTTTTCCAAATATTCACGAAGACCCTTTCTATCGCTTCGGAGCGTCGAATCTAATGAATATAAACGGAAGGGAAGAGTTCCTTGAGCAGGAAGCAGAGAAAGAGAGAGAGAGAGAGAGAGAAAGAGAGAGGGAATCCACGCGTTAAATGCTCTTCTTTACTCGGTCGCGCGCCATCCTACCAGCGGCTTTGTTTGAATTCCTACTTACAACTCAGTCGACCCTCTATCTTCTTTCTTTGGTAAATCACAGAGGAGGGCACCACCACTGGTATTTCCATTTGAATCAAAGTTGAAAGCACAGGCCCGCGGGACTACCCCGAGGCAGCCTATAAAAATGGAATTAAACCGCTCTCTGATCCTTGTCTTTCCACTCCTTTCTAAAACCCACTCACCGATACGATGGTAAATAGAAGATTGATTCGAAACGTTCTAGACAAAAATGCCACTACTCTATCTTCAGTAGTATATAGATGTGTGTAAGCGAATAAACAAACCAGAATACTTCTTTGCTCGTAACGTAAAACGACGATCATACGACGTACTCTTGCTTTTACTGTCTGCAATTTCGTCCCTTGTCCAAGAACGTGCTTGGTTGAAACTTCCAATGTCGTAGCTCGCAGCTTCTCTCGTTTCTTTCCGACTTCTCTATTTCTCTCTCTCTCTCTCTCTCTCTCTATTGCGCGCGCTCTCTCACTCTTTCACTCTCAGTCGCATTCGATTCGCCGTGATTACTCTTGATTCTTCGTTCGAGAGGAGGTGGAAGTCGTTCGGAGATTCTCGGCTACAAAAGGGAGCTCGGAAGAGAAGGAAAAGGGTCCGAACATTGAGATGTGGGAGGGAGAAGGGCGAGAAGGAAGAGAAGAGAAAGAGAGAGAGAGGGCAGACGGGATCCACTCGGGTCCATTTAAAGGGGGGAACCAACCACCGGCGTCGCATCTACGGGATACACGGTGATGAGGTTATTCCGTCCTCCTCTTCCCTCAGGAAGTGACGTCACATCTCGACGTAATAAACACAAATATAAGTGGTTCCTGTACGCTCCGTCGTGCCGACGTGGAAGTAACGCAGCTCGACGTGATCGAATCGCAACGAAGAGGCACGAGAGTTTATTTATGCACTATCACCAACGGCAACACTAGTGTCGGCAACATCCTGACGAATCCTTCCAGCATCCCCTCTGGTCGATGTTATATGTCATCTTCTCCGACTTCCTTCTACACTGAATCTTAGCGAGAATCCTGACGATGTAGTAACTTTGATTCGAGGATTCCAACTTGTATGGCTAAAATGGAAAATTTAAAAGATAAAATCTTCGAATAAAACTTTGATAAGAAAACTTAAGTAAAACGAATGAAAATTCAAGATCGATCATGATTTCTTTCGGTCTTATATTCTGCTGTCCTCGTACTACGATATATACAGGAAATTGGATACTTTACGGATTTCAATTATCCAGAAGATGAAAGAAATTATTGATAAATTGAAGACTCCCTATATAATCATCTTTTATCAAATACTATCGTTGTCCTCATTTCTGAGGTGACTCACCTTTATCCTAAAACAGGGACACACATTAAGTTTTGCAGAGTTTCGATATCGGAAAATCTATCGATATTTTTCCACCGCTGACGACAATATTCATATTTCCAGCCTTTTCTAAATATATCATAGAAACCATATCGGATCGAAGTACATATTCTTCTACAAATAATAACCGTAGCCATCGGGATGATCACCAATTACAGCTCGGAACAAGGTTTACCACGTTAAAAATGCACAGGAGATGTTCATCCACGTATATACGTCGCAATATGTATGTTAATCGGATTTTGCATAACAGATAGGCGAGCCCTCTAATCCTGGCAGACGTCAATCCTATCCAGACACTCGATATAACCAACAGCTAGGATTAGCAGCATGTATACGCGTTTGTTCGTACAAACTTGATGTGTTGGTGAATAGGACGTATACGTTCCTCGATGTAGAGACATTAATCTTTATCACGTTTCTCGTAAAAGCGCGGTCGAGTCCTTCGGACAAGGAGAGATCTTCGATCCGTGTTCTAACCAGAGAACAAAGCGTCTCTTTTCTCTCGCACGCGTACTTTCTTATACTCTATCTCTATTAAAGCTCCTTGGTGAAAGCTCAGAAAGAAAAGAAAGAACGCGTGAGAGAGAGAGAGAGAGAGAGAGAGAGAGAGATAGGGGTTAAGACCAGGGTAAGTCGCTTATCCTCAGACTAATTTTTCGTCTCTCTTTGCCGTGTCGTTGAAGAGCCCACGGCGGAGTGGGCCGCGAGGGAACTCGTGAGTTCCCTTCGAAGGAGAAAGAAAGAGAAAGAAAAAGAGAAAGAGAGAGGAGATTGAAGAGCAGCCGTGCAAAGACGAGAGCGCGCAACAATTATAAACACCGTGGCAATTACATGCCTCGGGTGCGTGCACTTTCTTCGAGGTCTCCCTCTTCTTCTTTCTTTTTCTTTTTTGGTGAATAGCGAGTCGTGAAAGAAGTCCGTAGCCTCTTGAACCGTTTCACCTCAGCGTATCACCACCACCAGCAGGGCCATCAGCGACAGAGCCAGTAGCAACCGTATTACTACTCCCATCTCGTTCGCGATGGTGAAGCGAAGAGAGAGAGAGAGAGAGAGAGAGAGAGAGAGAGAGAGAGAGAGCGGTAACCCTTTCCTCTGCTCGTAATTGAGCCTCGGATCGTAGAACGGAGAGAGCGACTTGGGTAGAAGCGAGTGGCTACTCGGACGCGTCACGTGTGGGATCTCGAGTTTATTTGCATCCCTTCCATCCCGCCCTTCCCATCACCATACACCACCACTAGCGTCGACGCGATGTGGCTTAAAGAGGAGAGTTTAAGGGAAATTGCTGCGCATGAAAGGACACACCTACGTCTCTCTATGTTGCTCGTGTTGTTATCGCGTAGGTGTACCTCGAGCTTGCTGTCGACGATATGCCGGCTATTTGTCACGAGCCACTCTTTGAGAAACCAAATCCACCAGAGAACCATGGAGGTTTCTTGTCGCTGACGTCTAAAGATGAATGTCGAGATTGCATCGACGTTAAATTTAACGTCAAATATAGTAGCTCGGAAATTTTATTAAATTTTTCCTCGATTAAATAATAACCTTCACAGATTTACTGGAAATAGATTTAATTTATGAACATTTCAGGAATAATTCGTATTAGAAATGTCAATATAATCGAGGGCAATAAATCCAGACCGATAAATACAGTTCGCTCGCATGTGCTACTTTCTCGACATAAGTTCGAAACCGAGTATGGAACTAATTAGGGGAATCGCGTGAGTTGATCTCATTGAGAAAAGGGAGAGAGACTCGGAAAGCGAGAGCGTTGGTAGGTACGTGTCAATGGGATTACGGAGGAGATTAAAGGAGAAGACGTGATTTTCTATCTAACAGATTTAACACGTTACTCAAAGTATCTTTAACATTTAACAATAAGATATGAGAAACTTTAAGATAAGCAAAGTGTTTTATGAATCCGTTGAAATGAATCAGAGAAAAGATGAATTAGAGATCTTTTTAAAAACTGAACATTAAACATTATCTTTCTTTCTCCTTCTCCGTTGATCGAGTGGACGAAAGTTTAGCCAGAGAAATCTGTTTAGGCTTGAGCTTACCCCATGTGTATTTAGCGGAGAATGCTCGCAGGAGGCCACCCGCAGGTTCTCGTCGATGGAGACGAACACGAAGGTGGGACATAGATAAATGTTGGTAAGCCACGACCGGGGTGGACCAACGTAGACAGAGAAAGCAAGAGAGATGAGAGTGAACCGAACTAGCACCGATGAGGAAAACAAAGCGTGCGGCACGGAGACAAATCGGAGCTCACTCCCTCGGGCTTTCCGAGGGTGATAGAGGAGGTAGAGGTGCATCGATGCGAACCAATCGAAATTTCAATGCTAACTGACGAGCGTGCGATCTGATACGAAGTCGATCGGTATTGGCAATATGCCCGCATAGTCCTAATCGACAGAGGGACATCGAAAGAGAGAAAACCTTTGCTTTTGTGTTTCCCACTTACTACAACTTTTCTTCCCTACAAATTTTCTGCCCGATTGATCTTAACTATCTAAATATATATCTCCTGAATTTCCTCAATTGACATTTATATTTTAAAGTACTAGAGTGAATATTTCATAGAAATAATTATAAGCATTATAAGGTTTCATATTCATATTTGCGGTGCAAAAGTTTTTTCTATATAATTTTCAGTTTACAGAATTATAAAAAATATTCCATTGCAATACACATTTTTTCATGAAATATATCCAGAAATATGATTAAACTTTTCACGAGGATTCTTTGTCGTTCTCGTTTTTTTCAATGTGAAAAGCTAGAGGAAAAGAAAATCCTTTTCGCTCGTCTTCAAATGTCAAACAAATAATCATCGCAATTATCGACAATCCGATAACTCGGCTAAAGGATAATTGACATGATTCGTGGGAAATAAAATAATAAAAGAAAGTTAAAAATTTGAATGTATTAGGAAAAAATTTCAGTAGGATTTGTCATCGTAGAAACTACTCTTGGAATGGCTCCATCTTTTGCCATTCGCGTATTTCCTCGAAACGTATCGAAGTAATACCATCTCCACTTTTTCTCTCTCTCTCTCTCTCTCTCTCTCATCCCTTGTCCTCAAACGAGCTCATTCCCTTTCTCTCTTACCTTTTTCTTTCTCTTTACGGACGCAGAAAGGATAGCGCGAACGTATTCCTCATATTTTATTCCGGTTTCTTCCCTGCTTTTTATTGCGGTTTGACTCGAACCCGAGACGCGGCTTGCACCGTCGCAATTTCAGTCTCACCCGCTGTTCTCCGTCGGGGATCTCTCTTTCTTACTCACACTCACCTCGTTTCTTTCAAGCGGAGCCGTAGAATTACATAAGCAGAAAGAAATTCGAGGGGAAATTCACGCTCCGCGGAGGGAATAATGATGGGAGAACTGTTTTATTTACTTCACAGCGCGAAATCTCGCGTTCGACGTGTTTAAAGATTTACGAGAAACCGTGACGTGGTTCTTGGGATACTTTTCGGGATGCTTATCGATCTTCCATCTAGGTAGGTAACAATTTTCACGCTCGCGAGAACGCATTTCCATTATATATCGTATAATGTACTTTCTCTTTTCTTCTCTCTCTCTCTCTCTCTCTCTCTCTCTCTGACAAAGTTGTACGACGTTAATCAAGACCCACTTAACGTTCACAATCTTGTTGCTAGAATACATCAGAGTCTTCTTAGAGATGATTAAGTGACCTGCGAAAACGTCGCCAACTAGCCCATTTATAATACCCTTTATCTACCATAGTTATCTATACGTAAGAAGGCAAAGTTATCGTTCTATTTATTGCACCAATCGTCATATGTAATTGGAGGCCACGCGATTGCACATATCTTCGCATTATTTCCAACGTCCGTGTTGGACACAAGACCGATAATTAATATTTATCGCTGACCTGACTTTTAGTTCATATACTTGAATCATTCTCGTTAACTATCTTTTTCCTTTATAAAACGAGTCTCGATTGTACTCGTTGAGCTTACGCATTTAACACGTTTTATCTCTACTAATATTTTGATAATTTTCAAAAATGAAAATCTTTTATTTTCTCGAATCTATAATTGAAATTTACGAGCATTGAACGTACGAAAGAGAAAAGAGAGAGAAAAAAAAAAGAAATAACAAATCTAATATATCTAAGGAACCTTTACTTTCCTTCCTCTTACTCCACGGCTAACGTACTTGGGTCGGCTTCAAAGGAAAGAGAATTATGCGCGGAGGCAAATTTAAATGAATAAAGAACGATGCTGAAACGTTGACCAAAAAGGAAAAGGAGGGAAAGGGAGAGGACAAAAAATAGAAAAAATAGTTGTATGAAAGGGGAAAGATTTTTAGAAGCCCTTCTCCTCTCGTTTCCCTCAAGTGGATCAACGTTTAAGCAGTCCATTATGAAAGCGGTTTACTTTGGCGCACGTCGTGCGAGCAACACCTTAAAAATACATCCGGAAATCCTGCGATCGTCTCGAAGCTTTAAAAGTGTATTTGCGAAGATCATAATCGATATCGAGCGCCAAAAATATTTGTTCGAGATTTTGCATTTGATGTTGGCCGATCGTATTTCCGTAATAATCCTAACCATTTTTCTATCTGATTTTTGCGGTATATTGGAACACTCGTACGAGATAACATGTGCACATTTTGCTTATTCACGTTTTTGTAATATAGGGAATCCATGATGTTGAACTCGTTACGATACCCTATTAAATTACATTAATTTATAACCGTAAATTACGAAACGGTTTCATCAGTTGCATCCATTTGAAAACAGAAAAAAAAAGGTACAAAAAGAGAACATCTAGTGTCGCCCGAGGCATTTTTATAGGAAAAAAAAAAAAAAAAAAAAAAAAAACGAAAAAGAAAAAAAAGAAATCAATTAAATCGTTCGTATGAAACTATATCTAGACAAAATATCAGAGTTATCTCGAACTGACGTATCTCGGTTCTTCCTCGCATTCTTGCTTATACCGTCCGAAGGGCCTATTGTTATGGATATTATTTACCGCCATATATGAATATAGACGAGGGTTTCGTGGGCCAGACACGTATCGTCCATATCGAGACAGGACCAGAGCCAAAACAGGATTGGTTGGTGGATGTAGCTCGTTGTTGTAGCTATCGCCGTTTAGTGTCCTGCTTAGGAAACGATCCAGAAACTTGATGGCGCTTGTTATGTCTTGCGAATCGTGATAGGGCTTTGTCGGATTTACATTTTTCCCAAGATAAGCCGGCGATCCTTCGTAATCGGTAGCTGTGTTTTCTCTAACGACATAGTCTTCTTCTTTCTTTGCATCCTCCTCTACTTTGTATTGCGATCTGACAGGAGCAAGAAGATGACGTTCAATCGAGCTTGAACTCTTCGTCGATATATCAAAAAACTTTTCTGACCTCGGTGGGAATCTCCCGCGATTCTGATTCATTGAGCTGTTCATCAAATTAATTGGAAAATATTAATCTTGACATTTAAGTAAGACGTTAATTAAAGGATTGACACAATTGGTAATTAGAAGATCAAATTTAATCGTCACCTGACAATTTTCTCAGCTTTATCGAACGTTTTAGGAATTTCATCCTTAAAAGAAAGAGACACCGTAGTTGGCCTTGAGCCTGGATGCAAATAGCTATCTTCTAGACGATGATCGTCATTTTCTTCAGGTTCGTCGACAACGTCGTACTTGTGATTGGCGTAAATAACGCTCCTTGAAGAACTCGTCGAAACGGGAACGCTTCGAGGGGGTAGATAGCCGTGTACGATGGACGGCAATTTCGTTGGGCTCGTCGTTAGTATTCCGCACGTCATGTAGATGCACGTCACCTGAATTAGATCAGTAAAAGAGCTTTAACATCGTCCCGTTCGAGAAAAGGACACGTTCGTAATCATTTAAGAAAATATTACAAAGTTCTAACAAAACTGCATATAATAATGAATAATATTTTACTCGATTGTCTTTTCTTTTTTTTTACAAAGAATCGCTTGAGAATAAAAAGAAATGTAACTGAGTGCTTAAATTTTACTATGATCTGACATTTAAATCGAGAATGCATTCTTAGACTCTTACACTGCTCAAAGAACATATGATTTTGACAGATGAAATACATCAACAGCTGCATCAAATTATTTTATATGCATAGAATTAGAAGAAACACGTATACTTTACCGAGAAAAAGAAGAGTATTTCATAGGATGCGTGGCCCATCATCCGACACTATCTTGAAAAGAACTAAAACGTCTGTAGGCACTTCGCGTTCCATTTATACCGTAGGACGGTTCGTTCGCTAAGAGCTAAGCCTTGTTTAAGGCCGGAAGTACATACACCGGCTACATATCTATCCACTCGAAAGATTTCATCGCTTTCCCTTTTCGGCTTCGACCAAATGCAACCCTCGCTGCACTTTTAACGTTCCGACAACATGGCTTTCGAATCAGGTCGAATGTTTCATTGTAATTATGGAGGTCAAATTTAACAAGTAATTGCTTTTTAATTTGATTATCATTTTTATTACGCTCAAATAATTTTAATTCCTCTTAAATATCATTCAAAAGAATACCAAGAAACTTTTAGAATGCGATCATTCGGAATATCATTATTTAATTTCCATATATATATAACATAGATAATGTGTAAAGCCGAGACAATATTACCAGGATATGAAAGTAATTGATCGATAATTGAGGCTTTGGACACGATCCTATTCTATAGAAGGAACATGTCGAACGTTTACCAATATTCGATTAATAAGCTATACATCGGCAATATTAAATGCAAGCTGAGAAGTGCCACTTGAAAAATGATAAATTCGAGTGGGAAAATATGTATGACAAATATTTCGATAAATAATATTATATTATTGATTTATATTTTAATTTTATTTACATTTAATACATATTAATAGAAAGATATAAAAAGCTTTTTCTCTCTAATCACATAGTGATTGTATTAAAAACCTCTAGTTCATATCGAAAAGAAATTGAATTTAATGAACATAAAGCATATCGCAGAAATTATTAATTGTTTATTCATATATCGCAAGAAAGAAGTCTAATTAATGATCTATCATTTGTAATTATTGGATCAATATGTAGAGTGCGCTATTTTCTTATGTGAGCACATAACATCTGTCGATAAGTTCATTCTCTGATTGAAAACTCACAAGATAAGGAAGTTTTATTGGAGCCATCTAGTGGCATATCCAAATAAACTTTCTATACATTTTCCTAGGAAGTGACGTGATGATCATCTAACCATTTTTTACTCTATGTACCCGCGAAAACTAGTTATGAGGTGTCGTATACATTAGACATTTTGATATAATTTTAATAATTTCTGCTATTAATTATTATACGAAATGGATATTGGAGATCCACAAATTGGTCGGCTGCGTGTGACAGATGAAGTAGGATTAAAATGTCAAAAATTATTTCAAGACTTCCTCGAAGAGTAAGTTAAACAATGATTCAAAAGCAATAATTGTATCGTATCGAAATTATTAAGAATATTATTCGTTAAGCTTACACTTTTCTAATAGAAATCTATTAAAACTGATTTGTACTTATGTTAATTGTTAGATTTAAGGAAGATGGTACGATTAAGTATACAGAAGCAGCTAAGGAATTAATAAGTCCAGAACGAAGTACTTTAGAAGTATCTTTTGATGATATTGATGCATATAATCAAGCATTATCTACGACAATAGTTGAGGAATATTACAGGTTATTCCTTTAAGCAATTTATACATCTGTGTGGATTTGAAAAATGTGCAACTTAATTATGTATATATTATATATATTATATATATACATATATATATATATATATATATATTTTTTTTTTTTAGAGTATATCCATTCCTTTGTCAGGCTGTATCCAATTTTGTAAAAGATACAGGAGAACTGAACAAAGATAAAGAATGTTATGTGAGTTTCACCGATGTTCCAACAAGACAAAAGCTTAGAGAATTGAATACTTCTAAGCTAGGTACTCTCATTCGTATATCTGGACAAGTAGTTAGAACGCATCCTGTTCATCCAGAATTAGTATTAGGCACTTTTATATGTATGGATTGCAATGGTTGTATTAAAAACATAAAACAACAGTTTAAGGTAAATTCCAAAAATCAGGATTTATTTTGATCATCTGTATTATTTGTGTCATTAAGTTAATCGTTGAAATTTATATTTTTAGTTTACAAATCCAACAATTTGTCACAATCCTGTCTGCAGTAATAGACGTCGTTTTATGTTAGATGTAGACAATTCCATATTCATAGACTTTCAAAAGGTAAGAATTCAGGAAACACAAGCAGAACTACCTAGAGGATGCATTCCACGCTCTCTTGAAGTTATTTTAAGAGCAGAAACAGTAGAAAGCGTACAAGCTGGTGATAGGTATTTTTGAAATTGTATATTAAATATATTTGTGCTTTATTATTACATATATTTATAATGATACTTTTGATATTGTAGATATGATTTTACTGGTACATTAATAGTAGTACCGGATGTAGGTGCATTGGCTTTACCTGGTGTAAAATCAGAGCCTGGATCAAGACATAAACAGGGTGACCAAGATGAGGGTATAACAGGACTTAAAGCACTTGGTGTCAGAGATTTAACATATAAAATTGCCTTTCTTGCTTGTAGTATTACAGCAACTAGTCTTAGGGTGATTGTTATATATTTTTGGAAGATATTAAATTTGAGTGTTACAATTAACAATAATATTTACTTTAATTATAGTTTGGTGGAACTGAAATGGTAATGGAAGAAATATCTCAAGAAATGATGAAAAAGCAAATGACTGAGGCAGAATGGAATCGTATATACGAAATGAGCCGTGATAAAAATCTTTATCAAAATTTATCAACCAGCATGTTTCCTGCAATACATGGTAATGATGAAATTAAGAAGGGAATAACGTTAATGCTTTTTGGAGGAGTTGCAAAGACCACAGAGGAAGGAACATCATTAAGAGGAGATGTCAATTGCTGTATAGTAGGAGATCCAAGTACTGCCAAATCACAGTTCCTTAAAAATGTTACTGATATGTCTCCTAGAGCAGTTTATACATCTGGAAAAGCATCCAGTGCTGCTGGTTTAACTGCTGCTGTAGTTAGAGATGAAGAATCTGGAGAATTTGTTATAGAAGCTGGAGCTTTAATGCTTGCTGATCATGGTATTTGTTGTATAGATGAATTTGATAAAATGGATCCTAGAGATCAAGTAGCTATACACGAAGCTATGGAACAGCAAACAATTTCGTTGGCTAAGGTAAATCAGAAGATATATAACGAACGTACATTAATTGTTCATACATTAATATATTTTTAGGCAGGTGTGAGAGCAACTCTAAATGCTCGAACGTCTATACTGGCAGCGGCTAATCCTATCGGTGGACGGTACGATAGGAAAAGATCATTGCAACAAAATATTCTACTTACAGCACCTATTATGTCAAGATTCGATCTTTTCTTTATTGTAGTAGATGAATGTAACGAGATAATAGATAATGCTATTGCCAAAAGAATCGTAGATTTACATTGTGACAATATACAAGATATCGAGGTGATATACACTCAATCAGAGATTATAAGATACATAAACTTTGCAAAATATTTCAAACCTGTTTTAAGTCAGGTGAGCCTTTATTAAAAAAAAAAAAAAAAAATCTTTATATGATAGCTTAATTGATCAAAATATTCAGGAAGCTGCAGAACTGTTAGTGGAGTGTTACACAACAATGAGACAAAGAACGGGTAGCGGTTCAGGAAAATGGAAAGTTACAGTGAGACAATTAGAGAGCATGGTCAGATTATCAGAAGCATTAGCTAAGCTTGAGTGTGTGGACGAAGTTACTGTAAAGCATATTAAAGAAGCGAAACGTTTGTTGAACAAAAGTATTGTCACGGTTGAACAGCCAGATATTGATTTGGAAGACGTAGACAACGAAGAAAAATTAGGCGTAAGAATAGACGATCCACCACCACTCATGGCTGCACTGAATGAAGTCGATATGGACGACAAGATGCCTACTCCTCGTAATTGCAATATCATCTAGTAATTGTATTGATGTAAAATATAATACAACGAAAAAAGAATATAAATTTATTTTTTCATAGCAACTGACGAACCACAAGAAGTACAAAAGAAGAAACTTACCATGTCGTTCGAAGAGTATAAAAATTTGTCAAATATGTTAATCCTATATATGCGAAGCGAAGAAACTCGTGCCGAAAATGAAGGTGAGGCACCATTACGCGTGAACTTATGTTCAATTATGTTAATATTACGAATTTCATTTATAGACGATGCAAAAGGAGGCGGTATACGTAAGTCCGATTTGGTTGTGTGGTATCTCGATCAAATACAAGATCAAATAGATTCTGAAGAGGAATTGTTAGAACGAAAAAATTTCATCGAGAAGATTGTTGACAGATTAACTTATCATGTATGTATTCGTCTACTCATTCACAAAGTGTTGAATTTTAATGCTACTTGATTTAATCATGCTCATTATTGTTGTGTTAAGGACCAAATTATAATACCTCTTACTACAAGAGATTTAAAAAGCAAAGGCAAAGGAGATGCGGAAGAAGAGGAAGATCCTTTATTAGTGGTACATCCTAACTATGTCTTAGATACGTAATATTTTTTCAATTTGCAGCTATAATCCCATAAAAATCGAAGTTTGCAGAATATTTTTATACTTTCGTCATATTTTGTAATACACCCAAAGATAATTTGTATAAACAAAAAAAAAAAAGAAATATAAAAATCGATTAATTTTCAATTAGATTATTAGCCTGGAAACACGTCGTATATTTTCACGAAACATTTTAATCGTTGTGCCCTCATAAATAAAAAAACAACCATGTTAATTCCTTTTTTTAACATATGTTAATTATGACAATGAGCTCATTCGAGGATAAATTAGCAGTACCTCAAAGTAGATCAGTATACTGAACAGTTTGATTTGTTCAGTAATATAGTCACTCTCTCGTAATGTGACTTACTGTTACGAACAGATGAAATTTTTTAATTATAATTTAATATTTCCAAAGTCCTACGTTATATCTTACGAAGTTTATGAGTACTACGCGAAGAGAAATTTAACCAGTTTCTCTTTTTTATCTATACCAAAGAGTTAACGAGTTAAAAAAAAAAGAAAAAAAAAACAGACAATGTACACATGTTTATCATCATCATGATACTTATCTTCGTATGGTGGGGTATTGTGGAGCAATGAGTAAAAAGAGTCAGGTATTGTCAGAATATGATGTTCTTTGTGCGAATCTACAATGTCTGAGGGAAAACTTCGTACAGGTTCCTACATAGAGGTAAATTAACAAAACATAAAAATTGTCATTGCTCGTATATACCGAATGACTGAAGTTCACGATAAAAATAAAATTTAAATTAAAATAGAGAGAAATATAATAAAAAAGAAAATTGATATTAATGTTAGGATGCGCGGGGAGCATGTATCGGTGATTTTTTCCTCTGGAAAAAATTTTTAATAGAGAAGAATAAGCCAATTTGGGTTCCTTTGCAATTATTGGATGCTTTGCTGAGAGGCTATGGTCAAGTGAGTGAGCACATTTTGTAGAAATATTGATTACGATTAATGAAGTATTGTAGATAAATGCTTTTTAAAAAGGCGCAACTTAAAAGTAAACACTTGGATCTTACTTTATCTGTCGAAATATATTTCAAATCCATTAGGTCGCGTTTGCTAATAATCCACTAAGTGGATTGTTAATAGTAATCGCTTTAGGAGCAACGGCACCAAAGATCTTGGCCTTTTCTGCTGCGACCGGCTTTCTAGGCCTTTTGCTTTCCGTGGTACGTGCACGATATGAATATTTTTTCAAATAATATTTCATGTCATAGTCGCATTTTATAAAATCGCAATTCATCAACGTGTAATTTTCTTCACTCCTGATTCATATCGTATTTGTTGTTATGACAAACCGACTACTGACGAGTGGACACAAGAATCCTACTGCAATGCGCAAACTCTTTTTTCATCCTTCAAATTCTGTAATATTTCATTTGCAGCTGATGAAAGATTCTCAACATATTATAGAAAATGGATTGACCGTATTGAATCCACTTTTAATTGGTACTCTGTCGTGCAATTTGGTACCAAAGTTTTATGGTGAATTTGATGCTTTTAGTTATCTACTTATACTCATAGGAACCATAATCAGGTGAGGATAATTTTTGAACATTGTTGGCCGATGAGCAAAATAAAATTTCGAATCGTTTCAACGGATCAGAAATAATTCACAGGGAGTCATGATTAATATTTTCAGTGTTTATCTGGCTCGATCTTTGGAGACTGTTAAATTTCCATGTACGGTATGGGCGTTTAATCTAGTAGAATTAGTATTACTTTTTGTTTTTACCACGCAGAATGGTTTTACCGAATCGTTCAAAATTAAAGGCACAGTAAGTATATGTACTTTGAATTACTCCATGCGTCACAGTGATCAAGACAGGCCAAAGATCATCTATTAACAGCGTTGTATGAACATAAATTTCTCTCGTAGCAAAGAGCCCTTTAGTTAGAAAGGGCTCTTCATCTTAGAATCCAGGTTATACATATTTCACGTGGCTTTCGTGAGGGAAAATCCAAACCCAAACCACCCCACATCGCGGTATAACTTTCCCCTGGTATTGATCAAGCTCGGTTAGAATTTCGGTTAGAATTTCGTTGACGATGTATTACCCTTGACTCGGATTTCAGAGCGACGTCGTCCTGAGATACATTATTTTTTCTTATCTATTTTATCTATAGAAATAGAGACGAAAACGAGACGGTCTTGAAAGTTTCGTTCGAAAATATTAATTCGAAGGTTGCAATTTGATCGCGGTACAAAAGTTGCATAGCCGAGGAGATATCACTGTGGCGTATGAGCAATTGTGTACAAACTCGAGATGCTACTTGTACTCTATACTCTCGTTGTTTCGAGGACAATGCAACAAGTGATGCAAGGACAAACGATGCCAGTTTTATCGCGGAGAATGTAACAGACGTTAACGTCGACTGGGGAATGGTAAAGATCAACTATCTCCTCTGTTTTATTCGATTTCAATGCATTTTGCTCTTACTATTGCTTATACGTTTCGATCAACGATCGAACTTTTAAAGAGTATTATTAATGGTGAACGGAATATTTCAATAATTTTTTCCTTTACAGGTGTTCCGAGGAATGGTCGTTTCATCGTCACAATTGTTCAGCGTGGACAACGTCGTAACAGGAGCTGTTATTTATTTAGCAGTTTTAATCTATTCCCCAGCTACTGCCGGATTTTCTTTTGCAGGTGTATTTATTGGTACACTCGCAGGCAGGTATTTCCATCTGATATTAATAAACATTCGTTGTAGAACTCTCGCATGCTTAAAGATGAGTTCATTTACGTAGGCTTAGAACTTGGGGCACCACACAATGAGGTATTCACGGGATTATGGGGATTCAACTGTTTCTTGACTGGTGCCGCCTTAGGAGGTAATTTATTCGTTATTAACGTACAGACTGCTGCTGCAACTCTCGTAGCGATCGTTTACACGGTGGTACTTCAATATGTCCTCCGAATTATATTCGGCAAAGTGAGTAGGTATTATTCCACAATAGAATGTGCAATTATGTTAATAACAATTCGTTTCCAGGTCGGTTTACCATTTTTAACACTGCCCTTTGTAATTAGCTCAAGTTTGTTTTTACAATTACGAAGTGCATCGTTGAGTGCAGTTTTTCCAAAACCATTGCAATCTTCTTATCCCGAGAAGCAACGTCACGATTATCTTACAAATAGAAAGAAAATCATGCAAGAGAACGTAGGTATAATTGTATTAATATACTTTAAAAAAGGTACAGTATTTTATGCGATTCATTTAAAATCTTTTATTTCATAATTTCATTACCTTTCCATGAATCATCAAGATAAACGGCTAATCGTACCTATGACATCTGTTAATACGCCGAGTTGATAAATACGTAAATAATAAATACATCGGAGTACGATCAGAGTCTTCCCACTATGGCGATATAGTAAACATCGCGTAATGTACCTCGAGTCTTATTTCGAAATATTTTCAGTCTACTTCTCAGTCTATCTTCGGAGTCATAGCAACGTATATATCTAATCGGTAGGATAAAATAAGCATTGAGGAACGCATCTCGATGCTATCTCTATTTGATTTCCAAACATCAAACGTTACTCCTTAAGAAAGATAAACAAACGATCATACAGAGGTAAAGCTTTTGGTGGAGATTTGATATCGATGTATCATCGTACCAACATCCCCAACAGGGGATGAAAACCACGCCCTTCGCCGGGAGCTCTACAAATTGATTTCTCCCTTACCAAAGTTATTCGCCTTATTTCGTGAGGAGTGAAAGTTTCTCCTTTGATACGCGCGTAGGAAGGGTGTCCCAACTTAGGTTAGATGTTATGCCTCGGAGTTGAGCTCAGCGTATAAAAGGATGAAATGAAGTATTCAAAAGCTCGACGCCTGCGCTTTTCGTTTCAATAGATCGCGTGGAATTTAACGAGTTCTTTTCTCTCTTTAATATAGGTCGACGATTCCGAGATGGACCCTGCACTTCCTTAGGATCAGAAGATACGATCAATTACTTCTTGGAATATAATAAAATATATTATACTATTTGTTATGTATAGATAATATTACTTGTATTCATATTTGCTTTATTTACAAAAGTACCGATAGGACATTCAATGAAATCTCTGTATAAATATCTTTAGTTTTCCTGTAATACTTCGATAAGTCACGAATAGGAAGTTTCCAAATATTATGATCTGATCGTTTCATCAACGTGAAGTATCCAGATCGATTTTTATTACTTTAGCAATTTTACGGATGAACAGACAATGCTGAAAAAACGTAGAGAGGTCGATACTTTCTCGAAATTCCATGTTTACCGAAATATTGCTTATCTTTGGAAAAAAATTCTAATCTCGACAAAATTGTTTATTCGCTGTCTATAGAATATACACCCACACATACACACACACACATATATATATATATATATATCAAATCGAGGTGCTAATCTCCTTATCTCAGAAAAGCGGGGAAAGGTAATGTTAAATTTGTGGATCTCGACAGCATTTTCAAGATCTGGAACGGTAGATATTTCTATGGAAAGCGTTCGCATGTAAAAAGCCACAGGTCGATCGATAAAATTTATACGATCACTTTCCCTGTTGCGGTCTATACATTTGAGCGTGATATTTTATTGCCAAGTCACTAGATTTGCAATACATACACAATGCAGTCCTTCTTTTCTTTCGCCTTGAATGAACGTATATCGATTTCGCAATTTTATGATTCTCACAAGTGTCCATTTTCTATGGAACGAAATGGTGTTCCATTGATCCATCAAAAAAAAGTCTTGCGAATTTTCGAGTACAGGAAAAAAAATACAGGTAAATAGGGAAAAGATATATATCGTTTGAAAATACTTTAAATTACTACTAATATTGCAAAGAGAATGTAATCGGAGACAGAATAGAGCAATATAAAAGTTTTTACCTAGTAAACTTTTTGATCGCGTAGCAGCGAATACGACTCAACTGGAGAATTTAATGTAAAACTCTGCATGTAGTGCATAAAATCTATGTCCTCGAGCGAGAGAACACTGTTATCGGCTCTACTTTGACGTCGTTATCGCGAAATTCCATTTCATTCTATTCGCTTTATTTGAAAACTTGTTCGATTTTACAAAGGACAATTTCTTTTCCAAATACTTTTCTTTTACATTCGAGCGATTTCGTTGGCAAATATTGAAAAGTTTCACAGAGATAATCCTTTAAGAAGGTCGATCAAGACAGTTCTTTATTCGCTACCACGTAAGATAGATAGCGATAATAGGATTATGTAAATTTCATTTTCCAGAATCTAGTTTTGGGATATAGCAAGGAGAATCATGAGAAGGGCGCCACCACGGATCGAAGTGGTCCAATAATACAACTATTCCTTTTTTACGATCTTCTTAATAGACATACAAATATTCGATTTGTCATTTCGCAATAATATATGAGACTTTTATTTGGAGAAAAATATTTTAGAAAGAAAAATGAGGAAGGAGGGCATTAACATTACCTATATTTTAATGTTCCTTATCCAATGTACTCGTACGTATACAAACAAATTAAAGACATGGAACGTAATAATGAAAAAAGCGGAAGGACTTGGTACACAAAATTAATACGATACGGCAAAGTGAAAACAATGCGAATGCCGCAGTACCAGCACTCTGTAATCTGCATATACATATAGATACACGTACAGACGTAAAAAGAAGTCACGAAGAAAGAGTATTTTTGATCGTTAACAAAGAACCACTCGAAAATTCAGGACCAGCTTGAAAACTGGCGCGGATCCATCGAGAGTAAAAGACCACTACGGTTTCTGTAACGCGTTGATCGTTTAAATTCTAATCATATCCGGTTGGTATATTCATCCCATGCAGTTTTGCTACATATAGACGACAATAGTTCTCGTTCATTTGCAATCGAAGAAGCGACTTTACCGCTTCGATCGATCGAGCGTACGGTCATACGTACGTACGTACATGCATACGATAATATGAATATATATCTTTAGTGAAATCGTATGCGGCAAGGGTGATAAGGGAGAAAAGTAACTAGCAAAAGGAAAACAATGAGGTTTTGGCGAGAGAAAAAGAGAGAGAGAGAGAGAGAGAGAGAGAGAGAGAGAGAGAGAGAGGGAGGGATCGTGCAGAGAGCTTTTCTTTTACGCTCGACAGCAACCTCCTTTCCGTCGGTAGGTGGATGAAAATGACGAGGAGGTGGTGATGGTGGTGGTGGTGGCATTGGCAGTAGTGGTGGACGATGTAGGGTGAAGTGTGGAGGTGGTAGAGATGGTAGGCAAACGGTTGTTGGAAGGGGTGCTTGTATAAGGGGTGGGGAAGGACTGAACGCATCCCTGCCAGAGCGACTACCTGCCCACCGAGCGAGCCTGTCTGCTACACGACGCTACTCTCCCCAGTATTCGGCCGATCGCTAGTACTCGCGCACGCAAATCCCTTCGTCGTGACGCGTGACGGTCTTTACTTTCATTTTCGTATAGAGATAACTTTATCCAGTTGTAACCAACAACGTATTACAGCGTGTAAATATATTACGTGTGTCTTTAGGATCATTGCAGACTACCTTTCTCTTTCTTCCTTTTCGCTTAAATTTCATTTAGTTAAGTTTCGCGCGATATGCGAGAGGAAGAAACCGCGTGTGACACTTCGTCGCGCCGCAGTGACCTTCCGAGAACCCTTCGAAGACTTCTCGAGAGCAGGACGCCCGCGTGAATTTCCTCTTTACTTTTCCACGATTCGTTCTCATCCTCTCTTAAGCTTTTTTCGTCACGAGCTACTGCCCACCGCAACTTCTGCGCGGCCTGCAATGTGTACAACGACTTTCGGGCTAGCTCAAGCCATACGCTCTTGACCCGTTCCACTCAACTCTCTCAAAAGCCTCCCCTACGATCATCTCGTTCTTTTTCTCCCTTTATTTCTTTCTTCTCCACACACTCTCTCTTCCTCTCTCTCTCTCTATCCTCCTTTTTTATACTTCTACATTTCACACCCTAAACGACCGACTTTCTAAAGTTTATATCGAGATCGACGAACTTGTGACACTTCTCTCTCTCTCTCTCTTTCTCTCTCTCTCTCTCTCTAATTATCTTTAATAGGAGAGCTTTTTAAATTTCGGCCAAGCAGAAGATAAACCTACTCGGACATCACCTGAATTTTTTACGAACAAGAGACAACACGGTGAAGATACTTTTTAGAGAAAGGGCGAGAACAACTTTCTTTCTTTCTTTACAAGTACTTTACCATCGCTCTCAAGAGAAATGACATCATCAAGGAGAGAAGAAAAGTTTCCGGATTTCTGACGAGTCGTCAATAGCCTGTATACAAAAGGAAAATTTTTATTTGCTTCTCTTCTCCCATCTACCTTGTCTCTTATATCGCAAAAATATAAGCGAGAGTAGGCGAATAATAGGACCACCCGCGACAATCGAAGTTCTCTCTCCTCCTCATCCTCCACCTCCTCCTCCTACTCTTCCCTATTTTTCTTTATGATTTAAGACTCCTTTCATCGCGACAAGCGGCCTGGTTTGATTTACGAGCAATCTAATCGATGAGAGCACCAAACGATCCTGTTGCGCTTTACATGCTATAAGAAAACGGAGTCAGTGGAACTCCTGAAAAAGATCATTGTAACATCAATCACGCAAGTTAGAACGGAACGTGAGATGAATCGGGCTGCTATCTCCCACGCTTCCTTCTTCTCTCGGCTTTTGGTAGAACGATTTGAGAGTGGAACTAAAACCCCTAGAAAAAGATAGTGCAAACTATTGAGGAACTGTCCTATCTTTTCCGTCTTAACAGAGTTCATACGAAGAAATGGCTGGAGCTAGTCAAAGTTGATTTGAAATATCAAAGAGTCAGTGTTGTCGAGCTTACACTTGATGGTGGTTTAGGGTAACCTGGCTTCCCTCGACCCTTGCCTTCGAACGACCAAAAGGACAAAGAGAATTACAGAGGAGAACGAGGTGTCTCGGCCGGGTCCGGCTACTTGAAGGTGATATGGCTACGAGTCCCGTAGAAAGGAGGAACGAGGTCGTTAGCTGTTACGCGAGAGACTAGGAAGGGTCGAGGGAAGTTGGCCGGGCAAAAACAAGCTTATACACCGCCGTCTCTTCTCGACGCGCGCTTCTCATTCTCCTAGCTCCCTTGTAACTTCGGTTTAAGTCTTTACTTCGTGTAATACATAAATATACCATGTGGTATGATGGTCGATCAAAAAAACTCGAGTTACATACTACACCCTCGATTCCCTTCGTTGGTTTGACAAGCGTAAAGAATGGATGAATCGGTATTTCAGGCCGATAATTGAAAAACCGAAGGTCTCCTAGCCTCCTCTCTAGAGTTTCCATAAGGAGTATTATATGAGCAATAACGGAAAGCACGAACTTATAGAAACGGTACTAACGAAGCTCGCTGACGAATTCTCTTTGCAAAGAGTTTTTTTTTTTTTTTTTTTCAAAAAAGATTCGAGAGAAGTGGAAGGACGAGATAAAAGATGAAAAAGTCCTGATCGAACGTTTCGCGCTCGAAGGTAGTTTGAACCCCATGCCATATGGTACGAGTCTTCGGCCCGAGGTCATCATCGATTAATTCGTTGGAAAAGGCAGAAACAAACGTTATCGCTAAAACGATTCGATCATCATGGAGATGGAAATTCGTTGCCCGTCACTGCCGCGTATGACATCCTGTGGCCGAGGGAACGAGCTCTCCGAGAACGTGCTATGCACGATCGATCGAGCGATTTTCGCGATCAGATAATATCGTTTGGCTGCTCCGTACAAAAGGGACAGATTTTCACGTATACAGAAAATTCAGGGACGATAGATTTTCTCTCAGGGGAATGTAGAATTGACATTTTATTTTATTGGGATATGGCAAACGGACTACGTTTTGAAATGGTCCTATATATCAAGAAACTTAATCGCTATCACGATCGCGGAATACCATAATCGTTCCGGTAGCTCGTCACTTGGACAAATAACGAAACGCCGGGAGAAATGATGAAAAGAGGATAAAGACGGAATAGTCGGCTTCTTAAAAAGTAGTCATCATCGAAGGTGAGAAGCGTAATGCACCAAATTTAGGTGAAGAGATGACGGTGATGCCGTCGACTTCCGATGTCGCTGACAAGGCAGTCTCAACAAACGATGGTAGTGGCGGCGTGGAGGTGGCACGTCTCGAAGCCGTCCTCGCTGCTCTGGTGGAAACAAAGGTGGAGGCGATGAAGGCATCATCGACGCTCGGCAGACGTTCAGGCAGTGCACCAACCAGTCCGCGTCGTCCGAGATTAACCTCGACCTCCACGGCCTCCTCGTCGCTGAACCATCATCATCAACACCATCACCAACATAGAAGGAAGAGTCATCATCACCATCATCACCATCATCCCCACCACCATCATCATCGCCGTAGACGACACGATTCAGCTCCTTGCGATTACATCGATGATTCAATGACTCATCATCAACACAAATCACATCATGGTGAGTCTTCTTTTTCCTACAAGAAGAATCCACATTTTCCTGTTTTAATCTCGTAATACGTATCTCGTAAGTACGTGCGAGGAAAGAGTTTGAAGAAACAAATGTTTGTAATACCGTACAGAAGAATCAAAACTACGTTCAAGGAATTTTCATTGGAAGAAAGATCAATACGATTAACCAGAAATAGCACGTAAGAAAGTTCGAGGACCCTTTACTACGTACTTTTTCAGCAAAAGTATCGAGTAACAGTATAAAAATAATCTGGGTATCAAGTCTTTAGTAAAAATAAGCAAAATAGAAACTTGTACGAGTCGATCGACAATCGAAGCGAGAGAGAGAGAGAGAGAGAGTTCTCATAACACTGCAATGTAACAAAGATAAAATAATATGGGTAGAAACGTGATATAGGATATATATGCATTCAATCGTTGTACTAATTTTCACCTCAAAAACTGGCGCATGAAACTCCCCCCTCTCTGTCTCTCTCTCTCTCTCTCTCTCTCTCTCTCTCTCGCTCTCTCGTTCTCTTTGATAAGCTACTACGCTAGGAGACACGTCAGTACCAAAGTTAATCAATTGCATGAAATTTACATGCGTATCCTATGCGGGAAGCCAGCTATGAAGTTGATATTCGATCGCGCAACCACTCCGTTAACTTATCCTACCCTCTAGTCACTCGATACTGCTCGTGAAATTCTGCGGATTTAACCATTGGAAGCGGAGTAAATATTTTTCATTTCTCCGTTTATTAGTAAACGATTTATTAATAAATCATCGTTTTTATAAAATTGTTCACTGTCGCGTTAATAGGCCCTACGTGTGTATTTTTTAAACGATCTAAAGAACATAAATGCTTCTTTCGTTATTCATCGGCAAAATGATAATTAACAAAAATTCATTAATGACGTTCACGCGATGGAATTCGGTGAATTAAAAATACCCACAGTAGTTTATGATATCGATGGCGTACTCCCTCTCCCTTTTAATTAACGTCTAATCGATTTTAATTAACGCTTAATCGATTGTGTTCAATATAAATGCGAACGAACGAGTATTAGTTAGGTTGTCCGTGTCCTTTCGATTTCGCGACGGTGTAAATCGATAGATAATTTGGGCCACCTGAATTTTCGAATAAATAAAATCGTGTCCCATCGTAAAAATGATATTTTCGATGAGAAATAAAAATGGAATTCGATCGCTTTTTGCTTTTAGGTAAAGGAAGACGAAGAGCTTCGGAGAGTCCACGAAGTCCACGGAAGAAACGCAGGCATTCGAAGAGCCCTCGTATTCTTCAAAGTGCCGATATTCAAGCCGGTCTCGAAGCGCGTCTCGAACTCCTTGACATGAACGGCGAACAAGATCTGGCATTGATAAATTTTGAAAGGACAAGAGAGGCTCTTAGCGACTCCTGCGAGTATCCGCGGCTGCACCGAAGTGCCTGCTACTTTTCCCAAAGCACAGCTCAATTGTAAGTCTACAACGCGTTCGCTCCTTCTTATTTTTCCCCGGACCGCTTTTGAAAAGGTCTGCTAATGTAGCTCCGGTATGTTCCATTCACGTTAAGTCAACGAACACGATGCGGATTCGCTATAACTCTTTGACACTTTTTTAATGACTCGCCGAGTTTGAAAAAAACAAACATACTCTCCTTTGCATTAGACATCTTCCTTTCTATAAGTCTACCTTAAGTATAAATCTCCGAGCATTTCGAAGAAACAAGGATGCCTTTTAAAAAGTGGGTCATGCATGGCTGGAAAAGTTCGTCGATGCTCATCTTCGCAGTCAGTTTCGAATGATGATGTTTCGGTCGGGAAGCTGAACGATCCTCCGAATAAAGGAGGAACCTTGTTCGACCGTGTAATGAAACTACGCCGCTCGGAAAGAGATAGCTAGCTTTGAAGGATGAGAGGTAGAAGAGGGTGCAAGAGGTACTTGGAGGGATGGATAGTCCGATGATGATCATGGCGAGGACATCATCGAGCTCGGCGCTTCTCTCTTCGACGCTTTTCATCCGTGAAACGTTCTCTAACTTTTCTCTATCGGTGGAAAGAGAGAGATAGCAAGTAGCGACCTTTATACTCGTGACGTATGAGCTCAAACGCCCGAACGGCGCGCTATTCTTCGTTGTCCGGCTCAATTTTAAACCGAATCACTCGCCGTTCCTGTTAAAAGCGCTTTGATGTAGAACTCCGGCTCCTATCTATTTTTCTTTCATTCTTTCTTCTTTTTCTTTCTTTTTATAAAGCACCATCTGTAGCGCTGACGAACGAATGAAATGAAATTCTTTCTCGAAACTCGATAAAAAATTAATTGCACTCGAAAAGGCAATTTCCCATTTTCTAATCGATCGTTCTTTGATTAAATTTCAATTGTTTATAGGATTCGATTTCCTCGGTTATTGCCATCAATTTCTGTCGAATTATGTTATAAGAAATTGATGAAAGTGACAGTCTTTGTTAGAAAGAAAGGAAAGAAATTTTCAATTGAAGTGATATGGTTGCAGTATGTACAACGTAATGAAAAAGATCGATTAAATTATGCATGTATAGTACGAGGTTATCGTAGAAAATACTAGCTATCTGGGCTGTATTTCTTTGTCTGACTCTACGTCGACCCGTACCACTTGACGTAGTTTCTAAAGTAGCGATTCTTAACTCTGGCCATTGTCGACAAAGTCAAATCTGGGTCGGCTGAAAATGTTCATGAGAATTTCTATTTAGTATCATTAATTTTTCTTTCATTTTTCGATTTTTTTTCTTTTCTTTTCTTTTCTTTTCTTTTTTTTTTTTTTTTTTTATTCTCGTTTCCGGAATATCCAACGAATCATGAATCAATTATGTAAGCAAAGTATAATGTTAACTATAATTTATGTAAGCTCTATATAGATTCTTTTTCTAGTATCGTTTTACAAAAAGATCGTTATCCCTTCGCTAGTCGTAAAATCATGACATGGTAACATCGCATAATGCATCATTTGTCGTAGGAAACGACCGCATTGCGCTTGATAACGGACGTCATCGCCTTTCACGAAGAATATTGTAGTTTTTAAAGCGTATCATGACCTTTACGTGTCTTGTTTTACTAGAATCGTCCTATGCAGAACGTCGAACGATTATTATGTACGACTTGCTGCTGCTCTTTGTCATTTGTAATGGCATATAAAGGATTGCGAGAGTAGTGCTACAATGTGAATTTTGCAAATTGAAATGTCACTTCTTGTTAGAATGGCATAAATACGTGAGGATTGTTACGTTACAGATGAATATTCCAGAAATAGATCGAACAAAGTCCAAGATCAGATGCTAGAAAATCTCATCCACGAGCTAAATATAAGCTAACGTTCTAACAATAGATCATTCGATTCCTCCTTCTCGTCTACTGAAACGACAGGAGTAAACATTAACCTGTCGAACAATGCAGACACATTCTGATCGATGGAGGTACTCGTACATCATTCGTCTTTCCCTTAGTCTTCACAATAATGCCAGTGAAGACCATGAAAATGGCTTATCATTTTTCATTCGTGAGAAGATCTAAGAACGAGGGCAAGCTTTAATTAAGAGGGTGTAAAAGGGTCTGGGGCTTCTCATTCAAAGGATGGGAGGGCAAGGATATAGAACTAAGTAAAGAGACGCTGTAAGAGTGTTATAAGAGAACTATGATTCGCCTCTGGCTTAACTCGTTCCTTCCGATACGAGCGTATTTTTAAGTAACGCCTGTTCGCAGGAAGATTCACTACGACGAGGACGAGGACTACTTGGCTTTGAACATAGCCGACGAGTTGGAAGAGGAAGAAACTCTGAGCGGTCCTGAAAAGATCGAGGAGCCCAGAGAGACTTATCACAGGCCACGAAAAAAGCGGAAACGAAAGCGACGGCGAATCGAGTCCGTTGGACCCGAGGAAGAAATTGTTGATCCGGAGGAACTACCACCTCGTGCGAGGTGGACGATAGTTGCCACGGCTTGCCTACTTTTGGCTATGTCCTTGCTTCTGGTCGGTGTCACCCTCAGAATGGCACCGATCATCGACGACATGGGTAAGCTTACCGATAACGAGATCATAAATACTCTTACTTTTCTTCAAATTTTTAACATGCGAAAGCTCTACGAACTACTCATTTAGTCAAATTCAAAATTCATCAAAAATTTCCTTGCCATTTTGTATAATATACATAATTGATTGAAAATTAATTGTGGCTCACGAATAACGAATGTTTCATCAAGAAGTTTCCGACAGACCAAAACTTTCCCTATATAACTTACCACGCTTGCACTTCTAACTTTACTCGAACGACCAAACTGTTGGACGCTTCATTTCTGAAATATCGAAATCCTATATCAGAAAAATCCAACAATTTTTTTGGATTGTAAACTTGAAAAAAAAAGCTCCACGGTAAAAATATATTTGAGAGCTTAGTCATCGATCCTCCTCTTACGAAAGAAAGCTCACGGATTGGGAACATGAACAAGGAATTCATTTAAAAAGCATCAGAATGATTGCTCCAACTTCATAAAACGTTTAAACCGTCCCGGAGGAAAACACCGGCCGAGATGAAACTGCAACGTCAATCTTCCAATACCAGTTGTCCTTGAGGTTCTCGCGATTCGTCGATAGAGGAGACGACTCGTTCGCTTTTATTCAGTCTGAACGAGGTAGCGACACCATCTACCGTCCAATGGATTAGATGTATTACTACTGAATCAAGAAGAAAAATCATTTCCTTCGTGATCTTCAGATAAGTCACACGTGAGAGTCTAATAAGTTGAACGAATTGAAGGAGTCAAGGAAACAATAGCTCTCTCTCTCTCTCTCTCTCTCTCTAAGTACTTTTCTAGTGGTTTTGAGAGTCGACATTTTTTGTTGAAACGTCGCGTTCCAGAAAAGGACCAGATAAAGGACAAAAAGGAAAGACTTTGTTGGCCAATTAACAGGCTTCCGCTGCAGTACGATAAAGTTCTTTCTTTAAACGAAGAGACGAAAAGAAAAAGAGAACAAAAATTTGGTGCGAAAGTAGTACCTACCATTTCGGTGGTTTTACATTGTGATCTCAGTATGTGCACATACACATCGCAGGTACAAACGGCATACATGCAGCGTGTACGAGGTTGAGAGCGCTCCACGCCTCTAAATTAAAGGCGCACGTCTGCGAATCCTCCAGTCGGCCGTCGGATTTCCGTGGTAGAACCGCTTCGAGGTCGGCACTCCTGTGCTTTCCTCACTTCGAGAAGCTTTTTCAAACCAACCACTTGCTTTCCTCGTCTCTACGTTTTCCACCTCCTTGTCTCTCTCCCACCCTCCCTCCTTCCCTCTCTCTCCCTCTCCCTCCCCCCCCTCTCTCTCTTTCTCTTGTGCGAAAAGTGTCTACGAAGTGTGTCGAGTTCGATATCCCTCGTGTCATCACGTCGAAACTCTTCGTCGTTTAAAGCAAAAGAATTTCTGTGAATTTCCTCGACACAATTTCTATTCTATCCTTTAGTACGTTCACTTTAAAGTGCGTGTTATTGTTTTATCAAGTCTTTTTTCTCCAACGAGAATTATCATCTTTCAATAGAAACAATTCGACCCGACGAATAAAACGTGTAGCTTTTCTTGTGAGTGTGCATTCATTTTGTAATACCAACTTGAAAATGTAAAGTCGACCCGGATAAAGTATTACCTTGACTTAGCCCGTCGAACATTTTTCAACGTTTGGAATATGAAAGGACGATCGTTTTTTCACAAAGATAAAATATTAATAACGTGGGAGGGAATAATGCATTTTCTAGCAGCAGCTCGATGATCGCGTTGCCTGAGAAAAAGTGCATATGAAATATTACGCGAGGGAAATAAATGCAGTTGCAATGAGTGCAGGATAGAGGAGCATGAATTTTACGTAAAAAAATATTAATGGGAGGATCAGTGTGCTTTTTAGCTTTTTTCCTGTCACAACGTAAAAATAATTTATTTGCTCTGTAAAACGTAGTTCTCGACGTACGAACTTTCCTTTGCTCTCGTTAAAACGATGTGCTCCGTGATTGTATTTAATTATTCGTTAAGTTTATTGCACATTCAAAAACGACTTACAGTTTTTTGTTCAATACTTTAATCACATTAATATTTCGAGTCTACGTTCACCATTGTAGCACATTGTCCCTATTGATTTTCATTCCCCTAAACTAGGATCATTAATCTTTAGAGGCTTTTCAACTAGGTCATTATAGTTCATATGTCTTATGCTGTAACAGGTGTTCTCCATGGAATTACATAAACTTTTATAGATATTATTTGTTATTCAAAACTAATCAATAAATCTCGAAAGTTATATATCAGTGTCAATATTGTCAAGTTTGAGAAAACGAATTATTTTTTTTCTCTCTTTTTTTTTTTCTTTCTTTTTTTTTCTTTCTTTTTTTTCTTTCTTTTTTCTTTAGAGACAATTTGAAAAGATAACATAGCCTGCCGAGGATTTTATTTACGCAGACGAATCGAGTCATAATAAATATTATCGAAACTTTTTGCAGTTCGTCTACTACGTTTCCGTAATATCTCTAATTATAGGAACTCTCGATATCCGAGAGGCAAAAATAGGAATAAGTTGTTGAGTAAGGCAGGTCAGGATCGTTAACTTTTTTTTTACGAGTTAAAAGAACCTATCAAATAACGATGATAAAAGTAAACGAGAAGCTTCGATATATTCAAGGTAACTCTTGAAGATTCATCTCCGGTGTAAAACTCATCGTTATTATCCGGAATTCACGATCGTTGATTATACGCAAACGAATGATCTTTTTTATTGTTCTTGCTAACAACAAATGATTACACATTCTACATTTGTTAAAAGAACAAAGATACGATCCTTTGTCCGAAAACTTTTATCGACTAGGTTCATTATATTTTCCCTCGACATAACTGTCCGTCGATCTTTCGATCTTCGCATATCTTCATTTCTAAATATAATCAAGAATTTTAAAGGCACTGCGAAATTTTTATTCCTTGCCTTTGTGCGGACGATGTACCTACATAAGACAATCGATGGAAATGAGAGACAGTTTTATAGCTTGACTCGGCTGAACTGCGTCATAGTCCGTAAATTTTTCAACTTTTCGTTTACTCTCGGAAACTTCGATTATAAAGCGTTTAACTTCCGAGAAACTTCTTCGTTGTCAGCGGGCCAGCGTCGCCAGTGAACTCGTATTTAACACGGATAAGACAGAGAACTCGTTTGGTGAAAACGTTTGATTATAACGTCTCGCCTCTATTCTCCATTCCTTTGCTAACAATGATTATAAGCTTTTATAAGAATCGGGTCAAGTATGGACGGAGGCAGATCTGATTTCCTTCGACGCTTTTCAATTTCGACGTAGACCATTAAAAAGGCGAATATAGATCGGTCTCTGATATTTAGCCGGATTCACGATGGCATTCTCTACTTTTTAAACATCTACCTTGTAACCATTGTAAATCCATTGAGAGTTCGTTTCTCCTTGTGAATTTTTGCAAAAAATTACAAAAAATGAGAATAATAATAGGATATTCGTTATCAAATTTAATCAATGGTTTCGTGACATCTGCATAATATGGATATGTTCGGGAATTATTTTTTACTATATTAAGAAACAAGAAAATTAGTGTATTGTATAAATAACTGGTTCTAATTCTGGTACTAATTTCGTAAAGGTAAATTTATTCAACTAATGAACAAAAAGATGTATTTGAAATTCCATGACATTTCCGTTTTGAAAATTAGCTTGTCTCATTGCTCGTTTCGTTTGACTATAAATTCGAAGAAAATTGTCTCTTGTTCTCGTTAAAAATGTAAACGTAGAAATACGTGGTTCATCTTTTCTTTCTCATAAGATCTTTCTTCCGTTGAATCTTTTACTGGAGGTCAAGGAAAATTTAACGTTTTAATTAATCTCTTTTCCTATCAAATTTTCGATACTTTTTATCATTTACGTTCGTCGGGTCATGTAGACTCCACATTTATATTCTTAGAATGAGACAAATTTGAAGGCACTAAATCATCGGAAGATCGAAGTAAATTCGATCTTCTCCTATACGATCTTGTTAACGATGTAAGAGTCATTTCGCTTGTTTAATTCATCTTTCATCTGGTTTCCTCTCATCGAGTGAACTTAAAAATCGAATGAAAAATAAAAGGACGCGTTATCGTCAATCCATTACTGATTCCACAGAGACGGCGATTTATTTCTCGGAAATGTGAAATTGTGTTTACGCTGAGAGAAATCTAATTATAGGTCAGAAGTTCGAATTAAGATAGAATTTTCTTTCTCTCTCGTTTTCTCCCTCGTCGAAAGAGAAGTCTGAAGAAGACAGTTTTATGTGTACGTTTATTAAAAGAACAACCTGTTTATATCTTTCCAAAGCGAGCAGAAAATAGAACACCCGTGTCGATCATATTGGGATCTTCCAATCTTCTCTTTACTCGGGAAAGGATCATAAAAAGTATTTTCCTTTATGTCACATCGTATCAAATTCAAAATGCAATATTTCGATCAAGTTTGCCTCGATTTCTTTCGCGTATCATCACGTTTGAACTTGCCCCTAGCAGTTTTCCCACGGCCAAATACCAGATGACATTCGTCTTAGGTCGTTCAAAAGTTTTCATCGTTTCGAAGCGTTAAAGTCGAAGAGTAATAATTTTCGATGGAACATCGACGAATCCTTTCTCTCCGTTTCGATTTCCTAAAGGAAAAGCAGATTTCCAATGGCAGAAGTCGGAGGTCGTCGTATTCGATCCAAGTCGGCCAGCTGATGTGAATGCAATTGGAAAATCGGCTGTGGTTCACTATAATATGGATCGATGCACTTCCGTCTGCATTTCATGCGGTCATATCACCTGTTACGCCTGTCATTCGCTTTTCCCCATTTCCCGAACACCGTAGTCATTATTATGCGAATGTCCTTATACCGTTGAGAGCTGGTATATGCTAATATTGGTAACAAGTACACGAGTACTATCGATTATCGATATCTAACGTCTCTTCGTAGACGAGATCAGCATGAGTGCACGCTAACCACTTTGAAATTTCGGCTAGCCCGTAATTTATCTTTTGATATCTATTAAAGCGAATAAAGCACATTTCCTTTTCTCGAAGCTTGATTAAAGGTATAGCTTTGAAAAAAATTCCTTCGCGAAGAATAGATAAGCGAATCTTCATCTTTCTTTCACGACGAAAACCTAGAGAATTCGTACGAGTAACAAACGAGTTAACGCCGAAAGTCATAAATTATGGCTAAGTTATTTGAATAACGTATTTCCACTTTAGTCTTTATGGTAATTTTTTCCGTGACAGAATTTTGCATTTTTCCCGGAGAACGAGCTGGAAATTCTCCCATGAGCTTCCATGAGTGCACCACAGAAAAATTTGCAGCCAGTTACCTACGTCAAACCGATTTAACTCTGATCGAATTAGCATCCACCTCTTTCTCTCTACATCTCCTCCTTTTTTTTTCTTCTTCTTCTTCTACTTCCTACACAAATAGAGGAAATCGCTTGAACCAACTATATCCTGGAAAACCGTGTTGCCTTTAACTAATGTACATTCATTAAATCTCGAACTTGGTAATAAAAGATGTTTTTACGAGGACTAATTTAACAATATATACTCTATAGCTTCTGTTTCATCTCACGAATTTTAAAATTACACCGAATTACCGTCTCTAATATAATTTGCTGATATCTCGTCTTATGCCGAAAACACCAATATCCATCCATAGAATCAATTAAATTCGACTTCCTCAGCGGACTGCCAATTTCCCAGATCGAACGTGCACACATCGAACATGCTAGCCAATAAAGCAAATCGTACGACTTGTGCCAAGGAAATTGAATTTCCGAAATTATACCTCCGTTCACGATATCATCGTCTACGCTCACCTGTTGTACTCTTAACAGGACAATCAGATTTTCATCGTGAAAGATCGATAACTAATTCGATCGATTATTCCACCTTCTTTCTTGAATTCCTCGAATCGTACTATAAATCCATCCTGTACGATCTTAAATCGATTAATCGGATTACTTTCAAAATGTTTTTCCGCTCAACAATCATTTCTTTGAATGTTAATTACTATTCACTTTCTCGCAAGTATAAAATTCATTGATAATATCCGCGAAAAAATTAGATTTTAAGAGAGCTCTCACATAGCATCCTCAGCTCTCTTCCTAAATTTTTGCGGTTATCGAAGTAATTTCGCTCGTATCTATCGGCTCGAGTTCTCGCAAACATTCGGCGAAGTAAGTATATTTATCGACGTGCACGTAGAATGTGAGCGCGCGCACATTATGCTGTTCGTGCATTATATACCGGCCCACGAGGGCAGACACGCGCGCGCATACACACACACACACACACACACAAGCACACACACATACGTGAAAACGCGGTCGAGGCGAGGAAAAAGAGACATGGAAAGCGGATCGGTGGCCTACTAGATCCTAGTCGCTAAAAATACACGTCGCAATATACTCAAGGGTGACGTCTACCACCTAGACTTGACGTTTCAGCTCTTCTTACTGTATACTTTCGTTTCTTCTTCCTCATTCTACCATTTGGAAAAGCGCAATCCTTTTCCAGCTGACGCTGCTCAATGGCAACCTTGTTATTCGGAAGTGCTTCATTCTTGCTTCCGCTTTTCGCCATTATCAACTCTTTGCGTTACCATTACTGATTCGCTCTTGCGCTCTCTCTCTCTCTCTCTCTCTCTCTCTCTCAGGCTGTTTGCATAGGAAGTTTGTTGCTACAAGATATCTGGAACGTCACAACGGAGCATGAATAACAAATCGTCGAGTTCGTTAAATACAAGCATAATGCTCGCATAATCGATCTTGTTATCGATCAACCAAGAAAGTTTCCCGTTCCGAGGTATCCTTGAAAATTCACGAACAGCAATGATTTAATTTTAGTAATCATCTCTGTTTTACTTCTTGGAGTTTAAGGAAAGCAGCAAGTGTAAATATTTCAGGCTTAAAGATCGAATTAATGATCGCAGGCTGGTCTTGATCATAAAAGCGTAAAATGCGACGCAAACAGGTGCTACGATTAAATTTGTTGAAAAAAGAATTCTAGTTAAATATCATAATTTGTGTTATTAATATCGTGTGAATTTGAGGAATGAATTCTATAGAGCATCTTCTGAAAGGGAATCCTCGTAAAACTTCTAATTACCAACGGACGAACATAACGAGCGAGGGTATTAATGAAAATATTCTTTCGAGCATTGAACTCAAGGATATTCCTTGCAGATTCCATTAGAAAAACGTTCAAGGAATACATGAAATAAATCTTTCAAAGTCCCATGGGAAAAACGATCGAACTGAACACCAAGTGTTCCCTGCAAACTAGCTTAGTCCGAATAACCTACATAAAGTCGTCGGGTCGATCGGCTTTAATCACCCTTTACAACGAGGCAAAAATAACTTTTTAAACATTTATTATGTGCTTTTCTTTTTTTTTCCCACGATCCTAAAGGAATTTCAGAAGTTTGCAACATTTTCGAGATGGCAAAGCGTTAAGCTTGACGTAGCAAAAATAATCTCGTTAGAAATTTCTTGGAAAGTGAGCAAGTGAACGTATCAATGATCTTACTTTGTTGACGCGTGATTCATCTTTAGAAAATAAATTTCTATAGCGCGAATGATAAATTGAGAGACGCGCCAGACAGTGCTGTGAAAGTTTACTCGTGAATTTTTGCTAAGGTAAGAATGATGCTGAAAATGATAGTGACAAACAACTAAAACTATGAAGTCTAATGCAAGAGAAAGTCGCATACGACGCCCTTCCGGTACCTTTTCCGAAAGAGTAATATTTTACGTGGACGATTTAACGACGGAGAACTGTCAAAGCTCAACACCAGAGCTCTATCATCGTCCGGAAAGCTCATACAGTCCTTATCGATCGAGTTCCGATTGCCTTCGGCTGGACGATCGTTCGGCCTTGTATCCACCGGCTCCAGACAATATCTGTTTAGAACTGGACGATCGTTTCACACTTTCCCTACCAATAAAAGGCGAGAAACCTCGTCGAAACTCCACTTGTTCCGGCACTAATAGACGTTTGTCGCACAATTCAGAAGTGGAAACTCGTTCGAGTCGACGTTCCAGCGTTCAGTCTGGTCATTCTAGGATCAACAGCTCTGGTAGGCCGACTCCTTTAGGTAGGATAATATTTTTTCAACGACAGAAAATAATTCTTGAAATTCCCTACGAACAAATGATTCTTCAGGAGATGGAAGAAGAGCAAGCGTGTCGAAGAAGAACAGACCACGCAGAAGTGGGACAACACGACGAAAGGACTCGGTTCGTCCTGCCAGAACAGAAGTCAAGGACGCAAGAAAAGTCTTGGAAAATGAACAAGATAACGAACAGACAAGACGCCATCGTAGAGTAGCCATGATCGTTCTGGGAACGTTCTTGTTTCTTTTGGCTGCCTCGGTTCTCGTAGTCGTCGTCACTTTGACTCATAGTTCCTTTCACAGCCCTCCTACAGGCTCCAAGGAGTTAATCAAACATCGTGCACAACGTAAATCATTGGACTAACTTAGATAAAGCGTTAGATCATAAGTCTTGAGATTCATTTTCGAAGAGCTTTCGCGTTTAACATCTTTTTTCTTTTTTTTATTTGTTCTATATTTATATCTTAACAAAAATGACACGAGTCCTTTAAAAGCAAAAAGATGATAACGAAATCCTTTACTTACAATCCCATTGGCGGTTAAGAACATTTTTATTGTTCCAGTTCGCAAAGAGAACGAAGAGTTGCTAAACTCCCTGAACAGGGACTTTGTGCCAGCTAACGCAACGGCATCTCCCTAAGGACTACGATTTCAAAGACGAAGGATGTATCCTGTTAGCTTTCGAAGGTTTTCAACCAACACGATGCTTCGTCGAGAAATTCGACAAAGATTTTACAGTGAAGATACGTTCATAATACGTATGGTGGTATATTTTAAACGGCCGTAGGCCTTCCTCATTTCGAGTAACGACCAATGAACGTTTTCTCACATCTTTCTTCTGATCTCTCTACTTTTCAATTTCTCTACTTTTGTCATACCTGCTTCAAAGAGAAATCCCACGCAAAGTTTAATTATTGAGATCGGTGGTAATGCCAGGTAATATCGATCGATTCCATAGATAGTCAGCAAGTTTACTAATTAGGTTTACTTAATTAGTCCCGACATCGAGATATTGTTTTCAAAGTACTGTTCGAGTTTCAGCAGTAAGTAACACGTTATCGATAGTTAATAGTGCAATCAGCGGGAAAGGAGGAAACTTTGAATTGGTCGATTTCGCGAAGTCGAAGAAGGAATCAGCAACGGATATATATATGCATACATATATATATATATATATATATATATGTGTGTGTGTGTGTATGTGTATATATTTCAAGTTGTCACTAATATTTATCGACGATGTTAAATGTCGTTCCTGTGAGAACGCACAGGAATCATTGGCAGTGACTACTGCTTGTTGTGATCTACAAATTTTGGATCGTTATTGTTGTTGGTACAGCGAATGTTGAAAGGGTCCTTGCACTTTCTAAATTTTCTCGGCGAATTCCACCTCGTGGATTGTTTTATAAACATTGTTTCAGAAAGAATTCGCAAAGACACGACTCGACAATCGTTCGCATACCGAATGCCGACAACGAAAGAAGTAGTTAAACTCTAGTCACGAGGATCGCTATTGAGAGTCATTCGGAATAAGAAGGATCGAGAGCAGAAATATTTCGAATAAGAATTTTTCAGATAAATTAATCGACGTAAAAAAAAGATTCGAATCTCGATTCTTCTATACTTGGATGCATTCTTGGTTAGATTTTATCGATCGATCAATAGCTTCACGTACGATGTATAGAGAGCCATGTAAATAAAATGTTCATTATTGTCTGTCGTGATCGTAAGAATTAAAAAGAATAAGAAGAAAAAACTAGCGACGAGGATAAAAAGCCAAAATTATTGTTGTCAATTGTTTGTATAATATAAAATTATTATTGTCTTGTAGAGCATATACGATCACGTATATTGAGATTTAGCCTGTATAACTTTAGCAATTAAGAAAGGATCGCAAGCGATCGATTTACAGCTCCTTTTTTTAGTGATTCGATTCTTCGCCGGACCGACGGATCGATCGATCTCAAACTCAAAATTGAATTGGTTTTTATGACAACGGATATATACCAAAGCAAAGACACTCGCAATTATTAATCGACATTGCTTCGTTACAAACTCAGGAAGATCTTTAACGACATGTTAATCGATCATTCGTCTCTGAAATAAAACAAAAAATATATCTCATTAGAAGAAAAGAAAAACATTCTTCACAGGTGGCAGGTATTTTGTTAAATCGTAACGTCTTGACAACTTACTCGAATCTTTACAAAATTAATCTTTGCCTCGTGTCCAAAATTATTCGCATCAAGTGCTCTCTAAATCGGAAGATTAACTTCTGAATACCACTATTTTACACTATACTCGATTGAACGATAGATGGATGAATAGGGACCGGATCAGGCATGTTAATTAATTGGCCAAGATAATTAGTAGTGCAGACTGCACACGTTCAAAGGAAGATTATGATGATCTACGAGCGACGTTCGTCAAGCGCGTATATTTTGCATTTGTGTTTTATTTTTTTGGCCAACTATTAATAATATACTGTTGGACGTTGTAACGTCTGATTTAACGAGAGAAGAAAAAGAGAGAAAGTTACACACATTTTCTTTCTTTTTGTTTTTCTTTTCAATTATCTTCAAGAAATCCTAGAAAATCTTCTAGAAAGCTTTCGTTTTCTCTCTTTCCTTTCTGACATATTCACGCTATATAAAAGATAGCAAACAATGTATCCTTTAACTTCGTAACTATAGTTAGTCTCATAAATCGATTGGCCTAACGTGAAAAGAGAATAACTTTTATCAAGGAAAAAATAAGGAAAAGAAATGAAGTAAACACGAGATATACACCGTACAATCGTAACTTTATACGAATTCTAAATTAAGATCTTTAACTTTCATTGGGTGTGTTCACCGTAGTGACGTAGACTGCCGTCACTCTCGATTTTAACGTTCTCTGTTAAACGTTACAAACGTGTAAGGAAGGAATCGAAGAGTGAAAGAAACAAAAAGGAAAAAAAAAGAGGCAAGAGAACCTCGTACGCGCTACTTGAGAATAGCTACTTGAGTATTTAAAGACATAAATCGGCTTCATATAATTATAATTATAGTAATAATAATAGTAATAATTATTATTAAAATAACGTTAATGATAATGAGATAGTAATGATAATAGCGATAATAATATTAACACAATACTAAAAAGAAGAACAAATAACAATAACAATAATATTAATGATAACGATAAATGCTTTTACGTGCAACTTCGGCAAGCGATTTAATGAGCACACTTTTTAAGGGAAATTTCGTGAGTGCACTCTGGCCTCTATGTCCGATAAGTCATCTTCGATTAGGAAGAGAAATGAAGTCGAGGATAGTAAAGTCTTACGTTATAATCTATTGTAGTGAGAGAATTCCTTTCACTGAGATATTTATAATAGTACTATAGAATAAATGAAACACTGAAGCGTCCGATGAGAAATAAAATGCAAAGAGTGTATGTGATAAGTATGTGCGATAAGTAAAAAGCAAAATGTTTTTTCTTGACAATCACACTCCAGAATGAATGAGCGTCTGTTTGTGTATGCGTGTATATGTATGTTCATAGGGACTTTTTGTGGAAATGTTTTTAAGGGACATCCAAAGGAAAAAGGTAACTTAAAACATAATTGCCTGTCTTTACTACGTCTCTTTATATAAACTTGAGAACAAATTATAATAGCCAAATTCCGAGCTTCCTTCACTTTCGTCTTCCCATATCGAAAGGAATTAGAATTCTATGCTTACTTGTATTAAAAAATAATCGATACGTTTTAGATCGCGTCGAACGAGTAAAGAGAAATATTTTGCAAAGTTATTCTACTATTTAAAAGGCATTAACTCTTTTCAACTCTTCTCTACTTCGACAAATCTTAGGAAGAATTCGTTATTTATTTCTTTTTTCGCAATTAGAAACATATATTTTGTAGAAATTTCATCGGCGATGAACGAACGTTTTAATAAGATGAAAGAAATGCTTTTCCAGGGAGGTGCGTATCCAGTCGTGAACGAAAGAAGAAATAAGATCGTAAGAGAGAAAGAGAGAGAGAGAGAGAGAGAGAGAGAGAGAAAATTAGAAACAAGGTCGCTCAAGTGAGAACAAGTTCCAGAGGCATAACAAAAAAAGAAAAAAATACACGAAGAATTTTAATAATAATTTCGAATAAAACAGTGGTGTGTATAATAAATGACGTTACGAGATGTTAATGAGTGAAATATTAAAATTTATGTTTCTATATTGTAATAACATTTATGTATAACGGTTATTATAATGCAAGAATATAAATATTAATTGTCCAGTTGATGAATGCTTCCACTTTCGTTCCTGTCAAAATCACGATAGGATGGAGTAAGAAGATGAGGAAAGAATTCTACCAATTTTTTAGGTAAATATTAAACTTTATTGTTAACGTTAAATTGCGAGCTTCTACATTGTAGAAATCTGTACGAAATAAATTTTCGCTAGTCTTACACCCTGCCTAAAAGGGACTTGTAGAGAGTCGTGCAATTGCGTGAACATTAACGTGGCACTACTAACTTTAAAGTGCCATCTACTATATAAGCTTAGACATGTTGTATTGAAATAGTAGATACAATAGGACACTTTGATCTTTCATATACTTGTTTTTTTTATATATGTATATATATATATATATATATATATATATATATATATATATTCGGACCAGTTATATTCTACGCCAAAGCATTGCTTAAAAATTGTTTTCTTTAATGTATCTTTCACCCTGCCTAAAAGGGAAAAAATAAGTTAGTCATGCTTTAGTGCTCAATCCTTCTTGCATCAGGGCCATTGGCACGCGCATTTTTTGCGACATTCGCTCTCGTGCGTGCGATATTTTTTAATAACGCTTAATCGTAATCGTTATATAACGTTGGTCGTTCATTTTGAACCCTGCCTCAAAGGGATAAGAAGATGTTTCTAATCGTCGAACGTTCTCTCGATTTTTGCATATGAACCACTCATCATTTACATTTTTTTTCGCTGAGAACGTGCTACGATAAATAAATATACTTTACGATTAATATTAATCTATCAGTCTCACTCATTTCATTATTAAACCCTGCCTAAAAGGGACGAAAAGATGGTCATGCGCGTTTGCTCTATTATTGAGGGGGCCCAGCTAACGCATTTGAAGTATTCACTCACTTTCTCAGAAATCAATCGTCGATCAGTCATCTTCTCTGATCGATAAATCTTTTAGAAAGTCGTGATTACATTGGATTCACATTATTCACGATTGAGATTGCCTAAATACTCTTCGTAACAAGTTTATACTATTATTTTGAATATTAAATTGTCAAACAGGAGTTCATTCGACTCGAAACATACACGTGCTTTTGACATTATTACACATCTATTTTTTATCGAGCAAGTCATATTTCTCAATGAAACTATAATACTCGTATAAACTTTCAGTTATCTTTGGCAATCTCATAACGTTTATCCAAGCTCTTTCGAATGGAATATAAGGGCCCTTACTTAATAACTAAAAATAAATCTAATATGATCCACTAATGATAAAACTTAACGCATTAAAGAATCGATCAATGTTTCGTAATTTCTTTTGCACGTTTCTTTTTTTTTTCTCTGTAATAAAGAAGGAAAGCAATTCTTAAAATCGTAAATCAGAGATTCACAAATTTGAGTTAAAGTTTGGCCCATTGAAGAATTATTTTTTCATGTTTGATTTTGCTAGTACTTTTTTACGGCGCTTGCCTTACCAATTAAAACAGATTGACAGTGACGATCTACTTTTTAAAAAATTATGTGTAAAAATTATGCGTAAAGAAAAAAAGGATAAATGTTTGTCAAACCTTAAACCGGGCCCTCGCCTTTATCTGTCTTCTCCTATCAGACTTAAGCTATGGTGCTTATATAAATCTCCTCTTGTTTTTTCTTCTTAGCCTCCATTTTCTTCTTATTGCAATTGAGTTCCTCCTGTATTTCCAACAAAGATTTCCCTTTGGTTTCTGGGACGAAGAACAATATGAAGATTACTCCAATAAAACTGCTTATAGCGAACCATCCAAAAGCGCTGTAAACTCCAATGGCATCGGATATCACTTGATAAAGCTTCGATACGATGAAGGCCAAAAGAGAAGCCCAAAGATTAACCAAAGAAACCGCTGTACCTTTTACATTCGTCGGAAATAGTTCGCCTAACATCATGTAAGGTAATGGATTCAATCCCAATGCGATTATCAACTCGTAGAAAATTATAGAAACGTGAAGGATCCATCCATGTCCGGCCATGTCAAGATTTAAATAAAATTTCAAAAAATAGAAGCCACCAGTGATCGTGAGTGAGACACCACCGAGGAAAGTGGTAATTAAAAGCAAAGGTCTTCTGCCAATTTTATCGACGAGTGCAGCTGCACCTAATCCAGCGACTAACTGCAGTACACTCAAAATAATGACAGCTATTCCAGCAGAAAGGCCAGTGTCTGCTTCGTGAAGAATTTCTTGAGTATAGGACTCTATCGCAGCTATACCACTGAATTGGAGAATCAGTTGAAGGCCGAAACTTATTAGGACGGCTCGTCTGTTTCCACGAGTATTGAAGAGTTCCCAAAAGTGAATCTTATCCCTGAGATCTCGTATCACTGTTTTTTGTATCTGATCCATGTCCTCTTCCAACTCCTCCTTCGTCGATTTTGGTTTAAGTTGTTTCAGATTGTTCATAGCTTTTCTTTGTTTATTCTTCATTAATAAATGATAAGGTGATTCGGGCATCCAAACGAAGGATGCGAAAAATGCGATTGATATGAGAATACAGGCATAAGATAGTATCTCGTACGATACAAATGGACCAACCGCATGAGCGTAAAGCTCACCAAAAGTTACCATCAGTTTTATAAAAGATCCCAGAGATCCTCTGATCTCTTTATCCGCGATCTCGCCGATATACATCGGACAGACGACGTATACTATACCTTGACCAATTCCACTGATGAAACGAGATACATATAAGACATAGGGATTCCAAGCAATAATGATCAAAATCCATCCGATGGCCAAAGGTACAGCAGCTATCAGAAGGCTATTTTTTCGGCCTAACCAATCTACTATAAAAGCGGCTATAATATTGCCAGGTATAGAACCCAACAAGTAGAAGGAAGCTATCCAGGAAGCATCGTCGGATGTAATTTGTACATGAGATTCCAGAGATTTCAATCTTGGTAACATTGGTGATGTCCAGCCAATGTGGGCGCCCGTGGATGCCAATGATAAAGTGGCTGTATCGAAAAATAATTAATCGAAATGATTGATAACGATAACAAAAATAAGTTTCATCGTTTCTTTTTAACAATAACTTTAAACGATAGTAGTTGGATCATTTACCTGTAATCGCTGCCAAGTATTGGGACCATCTCTTAGTTCGCGATTTGTTCATCTCTGTTATTTCTTCCTTTTAGTCGACTGAAAGTAATAATTCGTGTTATATAGAGTTTTAAACAATAGGCTCCTTCGAAATAATGAGAGTCATTTAACGAAAGTGAAGTTTCTTTGGTACATTTTGATTTATTCGAAACTATTATCTTCCTATCGATAATGACAATAAAAAATGCTTACAGAGATTGGAGATGAAACTTGCTGATGCCACTTAGAAAAAGGAAAAAGCTATTAGTCTCCTTTCTCTATTGATATCGGGTCAACCACATCGAGTAAAAAGAAAAGAAAAAAAAAAGAAAAAGAAAAGAAAAAGAAAAAACAAAAAAAAGAACGTAGGAGGGGGAAAAAGAGGACTTGGCGTCCCTTTGATAATTTTTTTTTTGTCTTCTTTTTTTTTTTTTTATATACATATAATATATATATATTTTTTGTCTCATCTTTTTTTTTTTGCATCTACATCAGACTCCTCCTATCTGTTAAATCTTGTTTTTCATTTTCGGCACTCTCTCTTTTTTCTTTTTCTTTTTTTTTTTTCTTTTTTTTTGTTATTCTTTTTTATTTTCGTTCTCATTTTTCCTTTTCCTTTTATTCTTTATGGTTTCTCTCTCTCTCTCTCTCTCTCTCTCTCTCTCTCTTTCTCTTGTACGTAACAAAATTATTGTAATAACATACACTCCTTTATTTTTGATTGTAGCCGATCAAACGCGATACATTTCATTAAACATTTTGTTATAACTGATACTGAAATTATAAAATAGGTATATATGAACAGTTGTTTCGTATATCAACTGTTTCAACAATTTCGCTAATTTATTGTAATATATTCAGTTAGTTTATTTAAAATTTTAACATCATGAAAGAAATGAAAATTTTGAATATTATCTGAGACAAACAAAAGCTATATAAGATTCAAATTCGAAAGACAAATGTCAGTGTGCTTAAACCTTGCTGCAAACGTATAACTCAATATTGTCGTTAAATATAACATGAATCTACAAAGTTATTATGTACTCAGTATAATCTACTGTTTCAACCAATACTTCATCCATTCTGATATAAAATGTTTATTTGATTTCAGTCTACAAAGATTATAAAAAATTTTAGTTAGATCAACTATAATTTTGTTGAATTAAACTTTTTTTTTCGATTCTGATAAATTCCCCTCGTAAAATTCTTCGTTATCAAACTCCTCAACAAATCATTCTAAGTAAGACAACAATGTTATCAAAAGTGACATGGACTCAATGTGTTCAATGTCTTTAAATACGTATTTTAAATTCCCTGTTCTTACGAGAGAAAGAGAGAGAGAGAATAAAAAGAACATTTGCAGCTGCATCTTATCTGACAGTATATTATCGTCATACTAAATCCTCTAAACAGAAGTTTCATGCAGATGCAAATTTCTAACGGGAATCAACGACGTAGTTAAATGAAAAAGAAATCGGGAAGAGATGGCAATACTACGTAGATGCATTTTTGAATCAATATTTTCTGTAAAAATTTCCACGAAGAAGGAATAACAATATGACGTGGTTAGTATACGATATACAAATATTGTTTCATATCTATATAGATTTACAATATTGTTACGCGCGACCACGCGATTGAATGAAAATGAATTTTAATAATAAAAAAAAAAAAAAAGAAAAAAAAAAGAATTTATATACAATTAACAGTTTAACATATTCTCTTAAGAAAATATAGAAATATTTTAGAACGTCCGCGAATCATGTTCATTCAGGACGAGTTCCTTTTGAAGACACACAACAACTCGTTATTGTTATGTATGTCAAATTCTTTAGGTACCTAGAAACGACCTTCTAGTTCCGAGTTCACTCCAAACTCATATATCTAGGCCGTCTCATGTAGTAACAATATGTAAACTTTCATAAGATACTCTAGTATAGTATAATAATCTCTTGCGATTATTATCGATCGTATAATTCTACTAAAGATTAATTAGATAAAAAGTTCAATTATAATGATATAATGCATTAGAATGTCGATTTGAAGAAAAGCGAAGAGCGTAGTAATAGAAGTAGAAATTTTGTTTTTCGCGCGTCGTACGACAGTCGCACGACGTCGAGATATCGATCGTCGTCGGCTAGAAGCGTCCTATGTTTCGGAGCAGTCGCACGCAGTCACAAGGTACCTGTCACAATTGGATAATCTCTTAACGAAGAAGGTCGAAGTATAGAAATAAAAAGAGAAAGATCAAGGGGAAAAGCTTCATCAGAGCTTTCTGCATACGAAAAACTATTGTTAAGTGAGAACATTTTGTAGAAATTAATTGAATTCTTCTTAAATTGCAACTCTGCAACTCCATTCGATCGCTCGGAAAAAGACCGAATACAAAGATGTGCGGTGGTTTTACGTGCTCGAAAAATGCGCTGACAGCACTAAATATACTCTATATTGTAAGTATAATCCCGTATACAATATTTTTAATATCGTTTACGAGAGAGAAAGATACAATTTAATAGGTTAACAGATACGTTCAATATGATTTGACACGTTTCCCTTTAATAAATATCAATGATCGTATAGGTCATGTAGTGACATAATTTATGAAAAGTACATGTAAATGGAAAACTCTATCAATCTTTTCTTTTGAGATTTTTTACAGGTTCAAAAAGTGTAGCTTGATAACGATACTCTGATAAGGTAACTTTTGATGTCACTAATATATATATATATATATATATATATATATATATATATATATATATATATATATACTATAAGGTGTATATATATATATATACTATAAAGTCGTTTATTTGTGCAGATAATTTCCCATGCCAGCAATGGTTACTTATCAGAATTGTCAGAATGATTTTACTTTTTAGGATAGCCTAATTATAAGAATAGATAGTATCCATAGTGAACGTTTGAGTTCTTCTTATATATTATATTGTCTCTTTTAACTTGTATAAATAACATCATTTTAAATCATTGATGATTAAAATTAATATCCATTTTTAGGTCGTTGCATTTATTTTGATTGGCGTCGCAGTTTATGGAAGAGCATCAGCTTTAGTTACTAATCTTCCTATAATTGGTGGAATTTTAGCGTGCGGAGTGATACTTATTCTCATCTCCATTCTCGGGCTAATCGGTGCTGTAAAACATCATCAAGTTTTATTGTTCTTTGTATCCTTTTTTAAGAGACATATATTATTGAAGACAAAGATTCATAGATTAATGAAAAATTTCCCTTAACCATATATCATAGTACATGCTTATTTTGTTCCTTCTATTTTTGATTCAATTCAGCATTGCTTGCGCTTGTCTTGCAGTTAATGCTAAACAACAAGAACAACTTGCAGAACAAGTATTCCTTCATAACATTATATTTTCTAATAACATTTCATTTATTATACATATATCACATACTTGCATATATTTTGAAGGGATGGAGACGAGTTGGAGATGATTTAAGAGCTAAAGTAGAAGAAACCTTCCATTGCTGTGGATTTAATGACACTGTTATTGAAAAAGATCCCTTGGCATGCCATGATAAAAATGTAAGTGTATTAGTGAACTGAGAAAAATTCTAATTTCATATAATACGTATATAATATTATTTTTCTATAGAGAACTTGCTGTCCTTTCTCTGACCGTGAATGCACTGACCGATGTCCACTATGTATGCAAAAATTGCAATCTACAATTGATTATGCCTTCAAACTTTGTGGTAGTATAGGATTATTTTTCAGTTTTACAGAGGTAAGACAATGGATATATTTTCCATCTTAAATTTTATATTAAACGAAAATATCAATGTAATGTTGTCGTTAAATATCATGTGAACTTTTGAAAAGTTTTGTACTGTCTCATATATCCTAATATAACACATATTTCTCGTAAATCACAGTATTATAATGAAAAGTTATTTTGCTAATGCTAACATATATACCCATTACAGTTTGTTGGTGTTTGGTTGACCGTGCGGTACAGGAACCAGAAAGATCCGCGAGCTAATCCTAGTGCTTTTCTCTAGTCTAACACCATCGCCATGTCCTCTATCTCCTCATACGACCCTCCTAATAGATGGTGGGTGGTATCATAATGTTGGTTGTGGCCTTTGTATCACATTATTTTTCGTTTCTTTCGTTATCCAAAAAATACCGTAAAATTATATTATATAAAATATTATTTTCTCTGATGCATAATTAACAATTCAATAAATTTGATTTTTCAGGTGATCGCAGCTTTTGTAGCAAAGCATTACAAAAATCAGCTAGATCCGCAGCAGAAAGCTGCAAGAGCTGCATTTCCCCAACTAAATTATCTTTATTAATATGATTCACTTTTATTTTCTTCGTAGAAAAGTGATACTAGATCCACGAATATTGGATCTTGCTTTATATCCGTAATCAATAGAAAATACATGATTATCATCTAAGAGCCAGAGAACAAATTTTTATGTATTTGTTTAAAGATGAGATAAAAGATTACCGTTTCTGATTTATAATGCTCGAAAGAATTCTACAATATTATAATATGAGAATGAACAATTTTACAAAATTATTACGTCTATAAAATATATATGTTGTAATAATTTACACAAAATGCTCAATACAAGCTTTAACACATTGTGTGGCTTAATGTTGGATATACTTGATTATAGATACATTTTCATAAGCACCTTTTTGATGAGACTACTGTGCATTCCATTTTTGTTCTAGTATCATATTTCATATCTATTAAATGCACCCATATCTAGCTATTACACATAAAACATCTCTTTATTATTATATCACAAGTATATTCGTAGAATTCTTTAATGAAATTTTCAGACTTTCAAAATGTTGTGTAATTATAATTTCATACTACTTAAATTTTCCTCTGCCATATTACCATTAAGTAAGTAAAATAGGTATCAGTATTTCTTTATTATTGTTTATAAAGATATGATTTTCTTTCTAAGACTGGAAGAAACCAAATAATTTTCATATATAATTTGATATTTCCAATTAAATGATATTTTTTAATATTTATTTAATATACATTATATTGTGTTTTAAACATGTTGAAATTAAGAATTATATTTGAGTTTTCATGAAAGAGAAGTTAACAAAATTATAAAAATTATAGTCTTCCTTTAAATTACATTTTATGAATTCTGCAAATTTTTATATATTGTTTTTGCAATCGCTTACATTAATTAATTTTCTTTTGTATATAACATATGAAAATATTAAATGCTTCCTATGTTCTTTTAACGTATATTCTAATAAATACGTTTATAATAGATATTTATTTAGTTGAGTAGAAATTAGATCAATTAAATCGAAATTGTAAAATATCAATGATCTTATTTACTATTACAAAGTTAATATAATTTATATCACATTAGTTTGGGTTTAATCCAATACCATAGTAGATCTGCATAATTACAATAATATAAGAAAATCAAATAATTTCACGATGTGCATAATCGATTTTTTATAATAGTCGTAGTATTTTAACATTGCTTATAATAATATAGCTTTAAAATAATATAGATTGTATAAAAATAATTTAGATAAAATACGCAATTAATCGACGCATTTTACTGTAACAGAATTTTCATGCTTTTTATTTGCAATGATCTATTAATATTTATTTAGAAGTAATTTAGTTTTATTTTCATTTATATTGTGTGAAATATACTATATATTATAATAGTATGTCTTGCTTGAAATCAAGTTTTAAGCTAATCCTAAATAATATTTGAAACATCTAAATATATAAAATATTAAAATTATATACTTAGGTAGAAAAATTATAAAGATTAGAAAGAATTATATTTAAGTAGTACATTTGCCTATGTTCATCTTAAAATTCAATACTGATGGTTTTTTTTTCTCTTTTTTAGTGAGTCCTCTTTTATTTTGTTATTATATTTTAAGTTATATACATTTTTCATACTTGTTAGAAAAATTTCATTTATCACGTTAAAGTATAATATCTTCAAATCAAATGGCCACCAGATCTCGAATCTTTTAATTTGATTGAAAAATAATGTTTGATAAAAAATTGTAATGTTACAATTATATCCAACAGCTACATTGCGGTCTATATAAATTACATTAGCATTGTAAACATAAAGTTCACATTTATACTTAATGAATATAGTATAATGCACATTCTTCAAAAATGTATTAACAACGATGTATAGGTATTGATATATCTGCGATGAATTAATAAGAATACAACATAAAATATCAAGTTGATAATTAATAAATCACTGGAGGTGCTTGTATACTGTAGAGTTATAATTTCTACACGAAAGAACCTGTTGAAATGATACATAATAATATAGAAGATTTCTTATCACACATCAACATTAATTTTACAAAGAATAATTGTTGAAATGTGTGCATAATGAATATAATACTTAATGTTTCAAATGAATTAGTTAATGTTTAATCGTTAATTCATACATTTATAATTCCATTGAATAGTTTATTATTGGGTCTTCATTTTGTTCTTTGTTAAAATAAAATCCTATTCATTATAACTGAATATGGAAAAGAATGTTTCAATTGATACAAGATAATAGTTTACTACATTTACTTTTATTCTTATTACCATTTGGGAATTGTGTTCTCAATTGTTGATTTCTTTCACGCTAGATGGCACTCGGAGCAATTCCCCACTTTTACAAAAATGTACAGGGGGATGGATGCTAATTTTTGAGTTTATAATCTTCTATAGTTTGTTGTTAGTACTCATTAGTTAACAAAAACGTTAATAAAATAGATAGTTGCATTTATTTTGCACATTAGTATTAAGTATTATACAAAAGCTGAATATATATAACGTATTGTAGCTTTATTTGAAAAAGAAGAAAAAAGAAAAACAAAATAAAGTAAAGAAAGGAGAGGTTAGTTATTTATACTTGCAAACGATTCATTCATCATATTTATTCTATGAGCATTATAATATTGTTTTTTACCTATTACATAAAATTCTATTTAACCTATAACACATCGTATTACATGGAATGTTACAATATTTACATATAAATTTATCTCTGTTAAAGGAAATTCTTATAATAATTATCATTATTTTTATCATTGTCGTTGATAGTGCTCGACCTATTAAATTACTGGCCATGCTCTGATAATATGAAGTATAAAAAACATACATGTATAAATAATAATATTTAATTTTAGTATTCTAGGTTCAAAATGTCTAGTACATCCCAAAAACACAAAAATTTTGTAGCAGAGCCAATGGGCGAAAAACCAGTTACTGATTTAGCTGGAGTTGGTGAAGTTCTCGGAAGAAGATTGGAAGCTGCCGGTTTCGACAAAGTATGTTTATATTTTGAAAAAGTGTCTGTCAAATTTTATTTCAAGAGATTTCATATATTTATATGATAAATTTATATCAAATTTACTAAACAAAATGTGTTGTATCAATTTTAATCTTTATAATGCTCATAATAAGAACTTTTACATTTTTTTTATATAGGACCAAGTGTTCTTTACGTATAAAAAGTATGATATATTAATCGTATACAGATATCAATGTTGAAAATATTATATTTTATAGGCATATGTAGTACTTGGACAATACTTAGTTTTGAAGAAGAACAAAGAACTGTTTCAAGAGTGGATGAAAGATGCTTGTTCAGCTAATGCAAAACAATCGAATGATTGTTATCAGTGTCTTACAGATTGGTGTGAAGAATTTTTGTAAAGTACTAATGATAATGGACTTTTGTAAAATATTAATGTTATATGAAAAATATTTTAACATTGCAGAATATTTTATAACTTAATAGAAGTCTTTTCACATGTATTACGCTTTTAGGATTTTCGTAAAATTAACAAATTTTAAAACTACAATTATATATTTTCTGATTTAATTGTTGACACTCTTAAGAAATATATAGATATCTTTCTATGCTCATTTGTCTTGAAAGAAAGAGAGAGAAAGGGATCATAGAAATAATTTTTATTTCTAAAAATAAGAAGTAAATAAAAACTTTAATAGTTGATGTACATTAATCTATTTCTAATCATTCAATAATTGGAAGTACTGCTTAATAATAAGAAATTAATAAAGATTATTGGAATATAATAAATAAGACTTAAGTAATATGAAAAAATACAGAATATATTTTTATTTCATATAAATAAAACATGGAACATGTTTATATACATAAAATAAATTACTAACATTAAACATATGTAAATATAAACACACATATACACACACACACACATACGTGTATACATACATATATAATATGTTGTACGTGTGGATACGCGTCCGTATACATTTACGCCTTTTTAATTCTTATATTCATTAAATCAATTTGAATTGGAAATAGACAGTAAATTTAAGTTACTTTCTCTAAATAGCTTATTAAAATATGTAATTGAATTATCAGTCAGTAATACTTTCTCTTTCTGCATTCTTCTCCATAAATTTAATCCACATTTGTAATCTCCTTTTATAGCTAAATAATATTTACTTATTAGATACATTATACCATTCTCAAAAGATTTTCATTAAACTGTGAATATAATCATAATACTGACCATAAATTGTGACAAGATACTCGTATATAACAAATCTGTCTGTATCAGGATAGTCAACTGACAAGTCAAGTAATTTCTCCAATATTTTGATATTCCTTTCTTTAAAAGAATTCTGTAAGCTTTCCTGTATAATTGTAAATTTATAATTGGATGTACAAAAAATCTGTGGAGAACAAACAAAAATCAGATATACAAACAAAATTATACATGGTATAAAATGAAATAAATTGTTTACTTTTATTATTCTTTTAGCTTCCTCTTCGTAATCATTCTTCAGAAAGCATAGTATTAACTCCATTAAAATATATTGCTCATTATAAGTTTTTGTAGCAACATTTATAAAATATTGCAATAGTTCCACATCTTTTGTTAAGACTATTGATTCAAGTAATTCTCTTAATGCAGGTATATGTTTATATTTTTCACTCAATGTTTCAGCAATTTCCAAAGCTTTAATTATATTACCCCTATTAAATGATAAAATAAAATATGATTATATATATTACAGATTAATAAGAATTAGATAATAATTTTATTAAAAGTGATAATAGTTTAAATTAGATAATAGTTTTGTCAAATTCACAGAAGAAAAAAAATACTCAATTATACTTTATAAAAACAATTTTAAATAAAACACTAAATACATACTGTTCAATATGAATTATGACAAGTGGATCTAAAAAATTCTGTGATAATTTCACATAATGTATATTTAGGAGTATGTCATAAAATCTTTTTACTATTCTATCATCGCCCATTAAAGCAGCTTCATTCAATAACGATTTAGTGTAATCGTCTATTATCTTGCTTCTGATTTTTATTACTTTTCCAGTATACTCAATTATTTCTGCTGCATCTAAAAAAATAATCAAATGATATAAAAAATTTTCGATACATTAATTATCTTTAACTTTTGCATTCTAGTTTTAAGAGATCATTTTTTGCAAATATTTTTATTTTCTATTAAATATATAGACTGTTTATGGTTTCTTTAAGAACCATAGATGTATCAAAGAAAGAGAAAAGAGAAAAATATTTACCATTTTTCTACACGAGTACAAAATTTCAACTTTAGCAATAAACTTCAAAAAATGAATGACCGTACTTTTTTAATCAATTTTAATGAAAAATCTTTACTCTTTTTTACCCAGATAAGAGATACTCAATGTTCCATATTAAACATCCTTACTTCTTATTACACATTGAATATATGAGATCTCCAATAGAAGTAAAAAATATAGCTTACCATCTAAATTGCCTAATGATATTAAATTCTGTGCATAAGTTAAAGATAATTTGCAGGTAGCACCAATACGATACTCATTTATTAATTTTTTTAGAATCATTTTACTTTCCTCGTTTGTATATTGTTTTAACAACTGATCTACTATAAAGATATATATTTCGTGTGGAATAGAAGTATTCCAGCCTTTTGATCGCTATAACATATCAATTCAATCTTTGTACACAATAATTTTATACACTTTATACTTTCTATCCAATAAAAAGTTTTATATTATAGATAGTAAATATGCTGCGATAGTTAACGATCATTTGATAATAATATTATACAATACCAAGAAGAGTTTGTATAGCATTGTAGGGTCACAAAAAGTAAAAGAATGCAATTGTTTTGACATCGAATTTTTCGTTTGTGATTGTTCATTTTCCATTTGTGTCATACTTCTCATCTATTTTCAAGATACATAGTATTATTACATATATTATAATCTAGGTAGATATAAAAGACTTGCAAGACAAAGTATACATAAAATAATATTGATAAGTAACGATAATTTAACCTATATTATAACTAAATATAAAACGATGTTTTTTAAATGGCAGTTCTGTCAATTTCATTGAAATTGAGCAAATTAATTTTTACCGAAGAATCCTCATTTATACTTTTTAATAGTTCCATTTCCTCCTTCGTTAAATTTTTATTTTGATAATCAAGCAAAACATGGTAAAAATCATTGGAAAATTGTAATTTGTTTTTCGATAAATATTGCAATATCTATAGATTGAAATAAAATAATAAAAATAATTTTTAAAATTAATAAATATAAATTAAAATTAAATATGCATACGTGTGAAGTTATACCTTTGAAATGCATGTAGGATTTTCATGTAAGAAATCTATAATATCATATATTTTATCAGTCAAAGAAACTTTCTCTTTCCGTCCAGTGTTTGTTTCTATATACAAATGCCTTACAATTTCCAAATAGGAATCAATATCATATGTGTTAAATAATGCTTGCCTGAGAGAGTTTCCCAATATGAAATCACTATAATAAGTTGGATATTTTAAAACTGTAAAAATAAATATATTAACGATTATATAACATCTAGCGCATGTATATACGTAATATCTAAGCGCATTTTCTAAAATAATGTTTTAATAATTTTAATATCAATTTGAGAAGAGGGAATCAATCAAAATAGAATATTTTTTAAGGAAACAAAATACTTCCTTTATAACTTACATTTTGTGTGATAAAACATTAAAATTAAAATTATAATAATAATAATAATAATAATAATAATAATAATAATAATAATAATAATAATAATAATAATTTTCGATCTCACTTTTATTACGATTTTTTGGTCTTTTTTTACTACTCTTTTGTTTATTTAATATTATTACACATTTTCCAAATGTTACTTACCATACATGTAAGAAGATTTTGTTTTGTTATTCTGTAACAAATAATAAACTGTAGCATTTCTTATTGTTTCCTCTGGTATGCCGTATTCCTTTAATAAAGAACTATAAGAGGAATCAACGCCTAATAAATTAGGTATAATAAAATTTGCAATTGTATTTATACAAGGTTCAACGTCATATACATTGATCATATCCTTCATGTATTTCAGAAGTCCTAATAAAAAAATTCAATATTGAATTTATTGTAATATTAGGAAAGAATATAGAGTAAATAAAAATAAAGTAAAAGGATAAAACAATTATACCGTGCCTTTAATATCATGATTATTTTGAGCTTTAACTAAAAATGGCCAAAAATAATGCGGCCTAAGTTTATGACCATTATTTTTCCATTCTTTCAATAATCTTAAAGCTAGAAGGTCATTATCATGCTTAAAAGAAATATAAATTGCTTCTGTAAATATTTTAGTATTACCAAATTTCATGTAAAAATGTGAACATATATCTACAATTTTTCCAGGAATCTAAGATAAAAATAAAATATACATTTTTTATTAAGCTTGTAAATATTAAATATAATATTACTTGCTTCTTTCTCTCTTACATACCACGTTACTGCATATAAATTTATTTATGAAGAAAGTTTCATATTCATTCTTGCAAAAATTATTTTTTATATAAGGGTACATATAAAAAAGTATTTTTATAGCTATATCTTCTTGTTTTATATCAATAATCTTTCCGAAAAAATGTATTCCTTCCGTATAGTATGGTTTTTTCAATATCCAGAGCATCTGTAAACATTTCATATTATTCAATATCCAGTATATATATATGTATATAGGAAACTGATGATATCAATGAATAGATTTGTATCTTACCTCATCTACATGATCTACATTTCTATTAACTATCAATGTATATATCACATTTAATATATTTTCATTTGTAAAATTTACATTTTTCTTTTGACATTTAAATAGTATTTCTCGTATGCTTTCGATGTCATTGAATTTTGCAAAAGCACACATAAGTGCAATATAAGTCTCATTTGAAGGAAGTAGATTAATCTTTCGTATGACATTAAGAACATTTATTGCACTATTTAGATCGCTTAAAGGAAAAAATTTGTTAATTTAAATACCATATCACACATACATTATAAAATCTAATTAGCAATTACTTTCACAATGGCAGTGATAAGATAATATTGAGAAAACAAAGATGTTCTATTAAAACATACATTTTAATCTTTAAAACAAAAAGAAGTAAAATTACCCAATTTGAGAGTATCCTATTATTAATAAATTAAAGATATCTATATCTAAAAGTAACTTTTCATCCTTCAGACATTGACATACAATTTTTGCTTTTGTTATATTTCCATTTTTACAAAAGTACTCTAAAAGTTTCATGTATGTAACTTTATTTGGTTGAATAGATTGTTTCTTCATATCAGATAAAATATTCAATGGAGAAAATGTATAATTATTTTCAATATAAACTTGTAATAGCGCATTATAAAGAGTTACATTCATTGGGACATCTAAAATAATGTATAGATAAAGATAAACGTCAATAAATATAGTATTATTTAAATTTATGCTAAATTATCTAAATTTGAATAAATGCTTATTTAAAATTGCACTTAAAACAAAAGAAGAAGATCTTACTATAAATATTGCATAACTTCCACAAGGTATTTGCAAATTTTATCCTTTGCTCTTGTGTACATTGTATCAAGACATTACAACAACGAAGAGTTAAAAGAGCCTGTGAAGATTCAAGTTTTCCTTAAATCAAATATCATGTATGAATCATTGATTAATATTTATATATTTGAGTAGTCATTTTTAATTCAATCTCTTCAAGTTGTTAATACAATCCTGCTGATTTCTTACCTTCTATTTGAATACAATTTATGATATCTTCTATCAAATGTTTATCTATTATACCTTCATGTTGATATTTGTTATCTATCTTTTTTATTATATTATCAATGTCCGATGATTTTGTTTGTTGGTTCGCAAAATTTCTATTTTAAAGGAATAGAAACATCAGTACGTGAATATATATTAACAAATACAATACTGAAAAGTTATTTATCATAGTAATAAAGTCAACTAACCTTTCTTGTAAGGTTAATTCTTTATGTTCCAAACATAAAAAATTTTTATAACTGTTATTGATTTGAATACGTTTAGAAATATTTCTAAGATATCTAAAATATTTAGTGGAATTGAAAAATAATGCCATGATATTTGTAAAGAAAATCCAGTTAAAATGAATAATTTATATTAATTCAAATCATTTTCAGAAAGGAATGGAGTATACTATCGTAATTACAAAATCTTTACTTCCGCTTCCTCAACACTATTATTGTTATTACCGACGTTTTTCTTTTTGCTGCATTTTCATTGATATATTATCAAATTTGTTAACTATACAATCAATAGAAATAAATTTGTGAAATATATTATTGTAATATATTATCAAAATGACTTTATATGTATGTAGTTATCAATCAAATGTGAACGACCAATCAAATTGTAGGCGCCAAAGTAATAGAAATTTGAACGAAAAAACAATTGTCTCTATCGTATAATACTATTAAAAATTCAAATAAAAAGTATATTTTAATAATAATGCGTAGCTTTTCACTATTACACAAAATTAAAAGGAACGAGAAGGAAATTGTTAGAGGAACGAATTGTTTTTTTTTTTTTTACTTATATATTACGGAATAATTTTATAAAGTAGTTGTAGATATTTATTTAAAGGTAACAAGATAGTACATCCCCTTTTGGAAAATGATTTTATTTACATGTTTCTTAGCTATTTTTAGCGATACAATGTTTTCTACATTTCAAATTTGATATAACTCTCAGATCAAGCGTTAATGCTTTCTAAAAGTATGTATCATTAACGTAACGAAAGAGAAAGAATTTGTGATAAGATTTAATCTATCATATTTTTTGTAAATGAAACGAAACTATTTGGACATATTACATTGACTATTATACACGTATCCATTAAAGGGTTTACTCTACACAAGGAGAGAATATTTTTATTACACAATTTTGGCATTAAAATTTTAGAAACGTATTACATCGCCGGATGACTCTCTCTCTCTCTCTCTCTCTCAGTATTAACGCATAATCGCTAGTAGATACTATTCTCATTCAATAAGATTACTGCTTATGTACAATTTAATAGGAATGTCACACAAAGGTTTAAATTTAATTGTAAGTTTAATTTTTGTCGAACATACATACGTTAAATGTTTGCACACATTTTACCTACATACGTATAAGCAAGTATGAAAACAATTGGTGAAGAAAAAAATACTGGGCAGTGTGAAGTCACCCTGAAATTGGTAGTAAGATACATTCAGAGGCATACGAGACTATAATCACGTAATTCATAATTTTTCTATTTATTTAAGCTTCATATACATGGATTAATATTTCGTCTCTATATCGTCTCTAAGAGAATTCGTTTAGAAAATATTGACATGAAAATGAATATATTCACGATCTTTATTTTTAAGGCGACCATGCGAAACAACGTATACTATTTCCCGCAACGAGTAGCTTTAAATGTAATTATTTCGTATCTATTTCGGATTTGTTACAGATATAGATAAATGTATTTTATATTTACACCATCTGTTAATATATATACTATATATATACTATGTATAGATCGAAAGGTGCTACGTTATACGGTTCATCCTGCATACGTGGTAGATATATATATATATATATATATATATATATATATATATATATATTTATTTATATATCCTATCGTGTAAGTTGGTCAATAAGTTTCATTATCGATAAATAAATTATATTAAATATGTGAAAGTTTATAATTTGATTAAACGATACTGGATCGATCAATGATTCCTCTATAAAATAAGGAAATAAAAAAGGACTTTTAAAGCGATCGATATAGATCAATTTTTGTCGAGGAGTTAGAAAAGATGACAGTTATCGAGATAGGATTATGTCTTGAAATAATATATCGTACGATTTTGCCAGAAGGAGTAGCAATTTCTGCACAAATCAGTTATATACCTTACGCAGATCCTTTCGCGATCCTTTAAAAATCCTTTCCCGATATAGATCCCGCCGTTTAAAAGCTTAATCCTACGATCGATTATGTTGGCGAAAGACGAACTTGTGTGTATCTATGTGATTGAAAGATTCAAAAAGAAAGATCATTGTAGAATCGTATGTATCGAAGGAACATCAGGAACTCTTACGATAAAATACAAGAATTTCTCTTTGATTCAGCGCGCTCGCGTATTTGTTGCAGGTGTTGCAGCTGCGCCGGTGATGGTACGTGCGCGCTGCTACTACGAGAATTCAAATGCGGAGGCGGTGGCAAGGATTGACGTCGTCGTCTCCGTAAAGCAGGACTCAGGTTGTATTTTAATTTAGCCTGCAATAATAATTCTTTAAAAACTTGAGAGATATTCAAATTATCTTTCGCAGATACTTGGACGAAACCGTTTTCCCACTTGGCGGTGACTAATACTCTGGTGCTCTCGCTATCTACCTGTAAAAACGCACATATCATAACTCATATTATTCATTTTTCTTTCGTACTCCTTAGTTATTAGAGCTAGATAGATAGATGGATATAAAAATAGAGAGAGAGAGAGAGAGAGAGAGAGAGAGAGAGAGAGAGAGAGAGAGAGAGAGAGAGAGGAAGGAGATAGATTTACCTCTTGCTCCTTCTCAACGAGATCCAATTTGTTACCTACAACAACGATAGGTACAACTCCTTTCGTATTCAATATCAATGCCCTCAAAGTTTTCACTTCGTGAAAAGTATTGACATCATTTACATCGTAGACTAAGACGAACGCGTCGGCAGATTTGATGGAAAGATCTCTCATTGCTGGAAATTCGTAAGACCCAGACGTGTCCAAGATGTCAAGAGTGAGGTGAATACCGGAAACGTTAAAGTCCCCGTGATGCATTTCCTCAACCGTGCGCTTGTATTTTGGTGTGAAGGTACCATAAAGGAATTGATTGATTATTGCCGATTTCCCGACCTTTGCAGCACCCATCACAACGATTTTGTGTCTTACAGAACTTTCGACCGATTTACCTCCATCACCACCACCGCCGCTGTCCGATTCCGATAGTCTTTCACTTCTGGAATTATAGAGCGATTATGGTAATATAACTTTGATTTAATTCAATTTTTTTTTCTTTCGTTTATTACTTTGCAATCGTAAATGCAAAAGTCACGTTTGATCGTACAATATGATACCTTTAAAAGAATCATAGTAACGAACGCTAAAGATCCCTACAAAGTGCGCTCTATTGAATGAGCGCATTGTACAGAGGCGTCCTGATTTCTCCAACGAAACCAGAATAGTGTGGTTCGCCTTCAAATAAGGAGAAACATAGATCGAAAAGACTAAAGAGGAAGAGAGAGAGAGAGAGAGAGAGAAGCTTGGTCCAAGGCTTTCATATGCACCAGATAACGGCTGTCTCACCGACTTCGTCTTCGTAATCATCTATGCTTATTACGAGGAAGATACAGACATGATTATTACCGACGGCACAAAGGAGAAAGATCCGAAGAAAGTGGAATTCGGTCCCTCTTCTCGCTAAGACTCCTCGCGAAATTAAAGCTTTCTTCTTTTTATCTCGAAATTTGTGAAAAAAAGAAGAGAAGAAAAAAATAGCGGCCGAAGAAGATAGCGTTAAATGAAAAAAAAAAAAAAAAGAAAAAAATGAGAATTTCATAGATGAAAAAGAAAAAGGATCAGGATAAATAGGCGTATCGATACGTGTCGATAGATATACGAAGTATAAACGAACGTATAAATCTAAAGATTATACTCACCTAATGTTCTTCGTCGTTCCATCTTCCTGTCCTTCCTTCAACGATGATGGCTGTAGACTGAATCGACGTCGAAAATGATGACGACCCTTCATCATTTGTGCCGAAAATTTCCTACCATAAAAAAGTATAAGAAAAGATACATCAAACGCACGTAGAGTTTTTTTTTTTCATTTTTACGAGTTCATTAACCACAATTCGTTTCTGGAAAATTTCTCAAAGAACTGGGGCAAACTACGAGAATGAAGAAGGTAAATAGACGTCCACCTTTAAGACGACTCTTTTTCTCTCTTGGCTAATGATATTTCCTTAAGACGCGCGAGGATAAAAGACGACGAAGAGAAAAATAAAGTTAACGCGAATTTAAATTTTTTTTGTCTCAACGGACGTTCGATTATTCGCTTTTTTCTTTTTTATAAATTCAATCGACAGCCATGGGTTTAAAAAGGAAAGAAATTTCGATCGAAAACTAAAAAGTTTTCAAAGAATTTTTGCTCACCCTCTCTTTTTCGTTTTGTCGCTTCTTCGATAATATGTATGCATCGACGTACGAACTTGACTCGCCTGCAGAAAACGCTTTTCCTCGTGCGATCGATAGCAAAGAGTAACGCAATTTCCATCGAGATAACAGGCGTACAAGAACACAAGGACCAGTACACGAGATTAATCACGCTCGATAAGGACAACGCGATCGATGAAAGCTTCCGATAAATGCTATGCGACCGATTGCAAGTATCCCTTTCATTCTCTTCTATTTCGTTTGAAACGTTACGTTAATGTATCAAATGTTCCAAATTTTTTCAAGATTTTCCAATGCCGATCAAAATTTTAACAATTTTAATGTATCAAAGGATACATTCGAACAACTTCAAGGCACGTACGTTTATTTACATTTTTATTCCTCTGACGCACGTCTATTATAATCGATTAGTTCGACGTTAATTAAATCGAATAACAACAGAGTTGGCGATGAAACGAATGGTAAACGTTTCGGACATTAAAAAGTCAGTCGAGCGATTCTCTGCGAGAAGACGATGTCGTCGTTCCATTGAAAAATCTATTTGACGTTCAAATTCGATCGAATTGATCTACATCTACATAGATAAATACTTTTTTTAATAAAAGAAGTTTCTTTGAAAGTACTCCAGTCATCGCTTTCTACGATCCTCCGACTCGACTACTCGAAGGATCTCTTTGAAAGGAAATGAAGAGGAAAAGAGAGAGAGAGAGAGAGAGAGAGAGAGAGAGAGAGAGAGAGAGAGAGAAAGAGATATTGGGCGCCGCAGCCGGCAGGACGTCGCGACGCCACGGCTACCTTAGGAAAAGAAAGATCGACCAATGCATGCGGAAGGAAAAGAAAGAAACGCGGGAAATATACCCCCCACGTTGTTTGCTCGTTTTCACCATTGGCGGTGCCCTTGTTGCTATCACGTCGTCGCCGTCGGTTTTTTTTCTACCCATGTAAACCAAATTGAAAGACGAAAGTATTGTACGTAGAAGAGCCGACAGAACGGAGCCGACGGTCGCTACAGACAAGTCTTCCAACTTCCAAGCGACTTGCTTGGTCTCCGGTCGTTGCTCCACTTAACGTGTACGCGTCTTTACACTTATTCGAACACGCGCTCGATGATTGCCGTTCGATACGTGACACCTTCAAGCTTTTACCTACCTACCTACCTACCTACCTACCTACGAACGAATAAAGCATTTAGCAATTTAGCATTTAGAATTCTCAAGGATTAAGGACCACAAATCACTATCTTTAATTCTTTGCAATCGGGAGCAACGACTTGCAAGATTCTTTACTCACGGTCTATCGCACGTGATTTATCTCGCGCCTCGTTAAACAAATTCAAGCAGCGAAAAATATATTCTGGCATCCCTTACCAGGGCAAATCGATTTAACGTCAAAGAGGATATTACGTTAAACCAGGAAGACTTTATAAAATGGAGACGAAAACTTCCACACATGCCTTTAAACACACAACTACGAGATATGAAACGACACAAGGAGCAAATTTAAATAAGAAACTTTCACGTGGCGGACGTGCCTCAACATAAATGTAAAGGAACTTTACAAAAAAAAATGTAAAGGTTCGAGAGACAAAAGATAAGAAGAAAGGAGATAAGAAAGAGAGGGAGAGAGAGAGAGAGAGAGAGAAAAAAAAGAGGGGAGAAAATATAGACGCTTGATAAAGAACACTTAGCTTTTCTCTTCCACGCTAATAAACATCCGAGAAAAGCTCGAAGATGTAATATTGTGCGGCGAAAGAAGAGTTTGTTTAAATTCTGCTGAAACATTGGCAGACTCGACATTTGGATTTATTCCAACCACCCAAATTTGCAATGCTATGCATCGATGTATTCGCACGGACCGCTCAACGACCGCAGAGTTGGCCAAGATAATACGGGTCAACTATTCTACAGCGATCGTCTATGGCATTAGTAGTAGTAGGAGGTTCCTTAGAAGAGTAAACTTTATAGAGCGATGGATAAGGTCATTGTTCGAATTTTCTTTACGAAAAAGAAGAAGAAGAGACTCGAGTTGGCTCGAAGAAGACACGATTCTTTCGCATGAAATAATCGAACGTGTACGTCTCGAATGGTTTAGTTTCGAAAGACGTGTAGAAAATTTTCAAACTTTCAAACTTTCTTCCAGAAACTCTTGTCCTTTCGAATAAACTATTTTCTCTACTTTCAATATTCCTTTGTCGTACCGAATCATTATTATATTTGTCCATACGTAGCTATATGTATATATTTGCTGCGTTGGTAAAACGTATGCGTTACCGAGATGGGGTAATGTCCGTTGGCGTAAACACATTGCGGGCAAGAGACTATATCATAGAAAGAGGTGAATGGAATGAGAGAAATCGGCCGATCACCCCCTATCCGCCTTCTATGGATTTGGGTTAAAACCACGGTGCTATAAACGCTCACCGATGCACCGCCGCTACTACAATAACGCATAATAAATATTTTGCTGTAGTTACGCTAAAGCATAAATTTTAGATATTATTAATGATACAAACGGATGCTTCTTTATTTGGAAAAGAGCATCGATGTCTCTACGATATTACGTGCACAATGTAAAGTAGATTCTTACCAACCTCTATAAGAAAAACGTACTGATTTTATTAAAATTCTCCCAATGATAAATTACTTTTTTTTTACGATAGTTCTTTTTACTTTCGATTCTAAAGATTTCAATTTGATTTATCTTTCCTTTCGTATCGAATGCAACAAACAAATTGAGTAGAAAAGATTTCTTTCTTTTCTTCTCTTCGTTCCCAGCATTCGTCATGTGTGTGTGTGTGTGTGTGTGTGTGTCTGTGCATGCGTATACATATCCGAAAAAGCATAAATCTCAAGGCCTATTTTCCATAATCCATTTTTCGTTGGACATTGAACCACCGATTCGTCGTCTCCTTTCGTATTCGTTTGGATTGGCGAATACGATATGTGATGCGACGTGCCGCCATGGGATTTCAATTCCCACGCTTATTTTCCAACTTTTTGCCTTATCGTCTGACTCGAAAGAGTCACACGTCCTGACTTTTGACGATGATTTATGCGAATGATAATTCCTGAACCGGAAATGTAAGCAGAACCACGATACAAAAATCGTACAGGAGGAATCTTAATGTCGCGAAAAAGAGAGAGGGAATTGATGGTGCAGTGATGTTTCTTAACTTTTTAATTTTAATAAATATCGAGCGATTACCTTTGATACTCGTTTCTTACAGTTAACATATCCAGTGTTCTAATATCAGAAGATTAGTGAACGGAATTCATTATTCTGATTTTGTACTATCCCTTCTTATTATGCAAACAGAGATAAGCAAAGTTCGTAGATAAATACATCCGGTAATAGTAAAGTTTCCGTACCAATTAAAAATTCCACATTCGTCCAGGTTCGTTAATGCGAAATGTTAAAACATGGTAAACGTTAGCATAGTTATAATGTAGAATCTAGAATGTCTTTACTTTTCATCCATTTCGTTTGGTTTTGCTTTTAGTATCCTTCTCTTCCTCTTTACATCCTCTTTGTACCCTCTTTACACCCACTTTCCATCCTCTCTCTCTCTCTCTCTCTCTCTCTCTCTCTCTCTCTATCTATCTATTTCTATCTCTGTTTCTTCGGCACTAACGTTGAAAGTTATGTAGGTTACACGTCGTTACGTGAAATAACTTTCTGGATGGTAGGTACTAGACGAGTCTATGGCAAGTAGAAAACCAGCTACCTCCACAACTTTGCCATTCTATACTTCATAAAGCCATACTAAAGCGCGAATATAACGGTTTAACCGCGCAACTTCAACATGTGCTTGGAGAAAACGAAAACTCATTTCTAGTTAATGTCAGTTTATCATTTCAACTTGTTAGGTATAGTTGACAAAATGTTCTTTATATGCAATATTAAATTTTAGGAACTTGTTCTATTAATTACGAAAATTGAAAATATTGAAATAAAAAAAAAAAAAAAAAAGAAAGCAATACCCGATATTCGGGCGAGTAATTTGATAATGTTTATTTATAGAAATAATTAGATTGTCGCGATTGAATCGCGTTAGCCAAAACTCTTGTTACCTCGAATCGTTTCTTTTCTTACCAAATATTACATTTTCTGTTACATTCCACGCATTTACTTGCAATAACGTAGGAGTTAAATTTACGTATCTAGAAAAAACATGTATTTACATACATATATTTATATAAACACGTATATACATGTTGATATGTTTACAATAGGTAATTAATAATTCGATCATAGGTATTAGATAGATAGAATCAATCAACTACTCATTCAACATTGTTTCTATTACTTGCCTCTAGATGGTCAAGGACCGGCAGCGGTTCCTGGTTAACAGGTGTAAACTGAGATTCGGCCAAAGCGCGGGAAGCGTCAAGATAGTATACTTGACAGTTTTCGTGACGTGGTATACCGGTTTCTTTCTCTCTTATTTTCTTTCCCTCTGTCTATCTGTCTGTCTGTCTGTCTGTCTGTTTGTCTCTCTCTCTCTCTCTCTCTCTTTCTTTCTCTCTCTCTGTCTATCTATCTGTCTGTCTGTCTGTTTCTCTTTCGTTTTCTTGTCAAATTCGTGAGAAAAAGCTAATCAATGTTTTCAATGTTAAAAATTTGAAAGATGTCGAAAGAAACTGGTTATTATAAGATATTTGTATCTCGAAGATATCGCTCGTTATTCACGTCGCGAATCTCCTTGCACGTTCCTCACTCGGCGAACAAACTCAGTGGAACGAACACGGCAATGCGGTCGAGCTAGCTCTGTCCGGTACTTCGGTACCGTACCGCCGCTGCCGGGTGCTGTCTTCGATGCTTTCCTACGGCGTCTGCGCTCTCGTAACCTTCCAACCTTCCAACCTTCCACCTGTCCATCTACATCCATCCCCCGCTAGGATCCTCGACATGTTTCAGACCAGAGCGACGCTATCTCTTTCCACCCTCTTCCTATCACACACAAGCACGAATACTCATGCTCGATTCGCTAGGAAGCACCTGCCAAACTATCTCAGGTCAATCTACCTTATACCTAAATACACATATTCTTTGAGCTCATCTTTTAAACATTTTTATTCGTCTCGAAGAAAGAATTTTTTAGTTGCTGAGATTTTTTTCTACTAGAATGAAAAATGTCAACATCTTTTGAAACATTTGAATCAAAGGATAGTAGGATCGGTTCGAAAGAAGTATAGACATAACAACATTATATATCGTTTTAAATCGTTACTCCGAAAGAAAGTTGGTTGCCATTGGATAGATATGCGAGAGATAGATCGGTGATGTAAGAGACAATGTACTGTAATAAAATATCTCGAAGAGATATATTTATGATAAACGTTTGCACGATTATGCCGGTATTATGTCATATGTAAAGATCGAGACATAGTACATTTACATTTGTTTACGAATATCGTAGGAAATTTTCAAAATTTATTTTTAATGTAATAATACGGCGTTAGAAGATTTTTCAATCTCGAAAGACGTAATAAAACGAGACGACGATAGTAGATTAAGAAAATGGAAATTTACTCTTTCATTCAATTTTAGTTGGATTCTCTCTCTCAAGACTCTTTTTCTTTTAATTCTTATCCGGTGAAGAAGCGCGAGCGAAGAGAGATTACCTACGTTAATCCGAATCAATGTAAAGCATTTACAGCTGCATGGCTATAAACATTTTATTAAAACCAGAGTTTTAACACGAATTGCAAAATTACAATGCGAGGAAAAAGAAAGAATTACGTGCGTATTCATAATATACGTAGCACATATTTTCGCTACTGGTTCGAAATGGAGATTGAATAATTCATCTCGATGGACTTCGATTCCATTCTTACGATATCTGCCCACTCGGCACGTATGATAAAAATAACTCTCTCTCTCTCTCTCTCTCTCTTGATATTTAAATGTTCAATAAAAATAATAGGGAAAAGTTGAAGGAGAATTAATTATGCAATTTATATTATTATGTATCTGTATTAACAGTAATAATACAACGTTAATACAAAGATCCCTGATATCGCAAGGCATGCTTTGTGCAAAAGTAATAATAGTAATACTTCATTGTTATACGAATCTACAATTAATATATATGTTGAAAAATGAATTATATCTATACACCTATACATATCTCTCTCTCTCTCTCTCTCTCTCTCTCTCTCTCTCTCTCTCTCTCTCTCTCTCTCTCTCCCACACACACTCACTATAATTCTTCATTAACAATAAGTATGTAGAATATACACACAGTTAATAGAAATATTATCTATGTCAATATCACTTTTCGCTTACATCTTAAAGTATTTGGCATAATTTTCCTTTTGTTTCTTTATAACAATTCAATAACAAGTGCAAATAATATTTTATACATTTGATACTTATATGTTGATCTATATATACAGATATATTCCGGGTAACTTATAGTTTATATTTCTTTCAGTTAATTTGGTAACAGTAATTATGCACACAGTGCATACCATTTATGGAAATTTGTGCCCAAAATCAATGATTTTATAAGGCAAGAAATAGCTCCATGTATGATATTTTTATTTCATTGGCATCCTTTTGAGATCTGTATATAGGACGATACATCGTGTTACGCAAAGTTGTTGAAACACATACTTCACGTATCTACACACAGCAAATATACGTATATATTATAGTACAGAGATACGTGTCAATAATTATCTGTACAACATTCATTATGATTCGTTGGTATCAAGTGATTAGAAATTCTATTGAAACTGAATACACCTTTCTGTTCCTAGAGATTTACTTATAAGAACTATACACTATACGTATACGTAAGTAATAGAAATCCTTCATCTCGCAGTACACATTTATTATCTTAGCTTAAGGGGAGGATAAGGAAAAGGAAGGAAGGGAGTGGGGGAAAAGGTAGATTGAATAAGGAATTAAAGATCGTTGCAAACGTATAGACCGTAAGAAAGTTATTTTTTCAATGATTCCTATATCTTCGAATATTCAATGCTGTTCCATCATGCGCATCCTTTCTTCTCGGAAGTATTTCCATTTTTCTTTGCAAACACAATAACATAAGTAAGTGTTATCTATTTAAAGCTTCAGTATTTTGGTTTTGAGTATTCTTATTTACGTTATCTCCTTGACCGATCGGACTAGATAATCTAACTGGTTTGATAGACTTTAATTTTGTGGTTCCACCATATCGAAAATTGACATCGCTACAAGTATCCAAAGGATGCATGGTACCTGTCAAGTTGGTCAAAGAATCTTCATTGGTAACTTCGATCTTGCTAGTTGGAACTTTTTTAACGGAGCCTAATTCATACGCCGACTTGGACGGTTTCAACTTTAATTTTGCGTTCGATAGCGGTAACGAGATAGATTTTTCTAAATTAATTGCCTGAATCTTCAAATGATTATCATTTTGTTCGACATTATCGTTCTGCGAATTCATTGTATCTGTGATTTGTATGTCTATATTGACCGTCTTTGGATCATTTTCATCATTGTTGCTTCGTATATTTGGATCGGTGTACTCGTTTCTAAGGGCTGCCAATTGTGCACGTTGCTTTTGTATGTGATTGTGCGAATTCGAAAAGAAAGAAGATACCCTTTCCAATTTAGTTGCCAGGTTTGGTTGACTCAACGTAGATTTCAAAGGATAGGGAGGATCGATCACGTTACTATTTCTTAAGAAATTATGCGAATCTCTACCAGCCGAATTGCTTTTAATGAGCCCTTGCTTACTATTATCTTCTAATATCTTCAAAGGATATGCTTTGCTCATGTTTCTTCGCTTTTCGGCAATGCTTATCTGAGAAATAATTCTACGTATTTCACCTGGTAAATCTAGATCGTCTCGCGTTTCGCTCAAGTGTTGAATAAATGTACCTAAAGTCGCGACTGTCACTTCGAGACTACGATTCTGAGATTCTAATTTATTCACCACCGCTTGTTGCATAGATCGTGCTGTTTCCAAACGTTGCAAGTTATTCATCGTTACCTAAAACAAAAAATTGCATGCGATATATTCGTTCCAAAAAAAAAAAAAAAAAAAAAAAAAAAAAAAAAAAAAAAAAAAAAAGCGAAAATATATAGCTATATAAAGAATATAATTGTTATATTATATCGAATATTCTTACCTCGAGTTGTTCGTTCAATTGACCGACTTGTTTCATCAATTGTTTGTTAACCGTCTTGAATTTCTCTAAACTTTCCATCTGAGGTTTTACCGATAGCATTTCTTCTTGTAGCACTTGATACTCCACTCTATATTCATTCAATTGCTTCGAAACTTCCATATCCGGATAGAATACACGTTTCATTACACGATCCAAAGTGGCTTTATCTACAGCTGGTACACGGGTCTAAGAAAGAGGATGGAAAAAATGAAGATACGTGGTTATTCGATGGCACACTTTCGACATAAAAACACAGTTGAATAAAGTCACAGAGACATATATATTCTTACTTTAAGATATTCCATAATTTCTTCGAAACTATCACAGTAAAGCAATTGATCTTGATGCTCTTCCAGTAATGCCACGGCTACTCGAAATAATATTTCTGAGCTTTCGAGAAAAAGTAAATCTGTGACAAAAAGGAAGAAAAGAGTCAATAAAATTTTCTACAACTTTCTTCTGGCTTAATAATACATGAGGTAAGGAATGAGAGAAGAAAATAAATTAGGTGGGGATAAACTTACCAAAGACTCTGGTTACAAAACCTAATGGAAACTGACTGGCAAACAAGGTTAACAACCACGGTGCTGCATACAAAGTTGGTGACACTTCGTGCTTGTCAAAATGATCATAAAGTGCCGGTAGTCTATCGTGCAATAATCTTGATAGTTGATATAAGTGCAATTGTAATGCTGCCATATCTGGAAGGTAGAGTTTTCTCAGGCCTCTCCGAAACATCAGATGTCGTAAGAGAAAAAAAGCCTGATCTTCCACCATCTGATTATGAAACAGGTAGAAAGATTTTTATGGTATAGAAAGTGTTTCAAGCTATTATTTAACGCGACATGAACTGGCTTTAACATTGATGGTCTATGCAACATTTAAAGTTACGTTCATTTAAAAGAAAATTTATATTTACGTGTAAAAGAAGAACGCCAGCCACAAAGCTTAGACCCTGACAATAGCCAACTTCGTGATCCAGAAGAGAATAAGCTTTTAATAAATTGAAAAGTGCCAATTGGCCAGGTCCTAAAGGAGAACTGAAATACGGATGATTCGGAAATGTACGTCCTAAGTCGATGAGAATAGCATGTTGCTGAGACGTGAGTTGTTTTAGTAACAGATCGTAAGAAGTATTGTAGTTCGGAAAATCATGAGTATCTATGGGTGGTTGCTTCAAACAAAATTGTTCCGCTAAGAATTGCCAGACTTCGCCCCTTTTCCCTTTGGGAACACCTGAAACATAACGATTAAGACGTGTTAGATCCTCCCCTCTTTCTTCATTGATAACTCAATTTTTTACCTTGCTTAATGGCATGTAAAAGCATTTGATTGTCGCACTTTGTAGAAACGCGGGATTCTTTGCTAACGAGCAAATCCCATACTTCGACGAGTTCGCGTGCACAGCTGCTAATTTCATCGTACTCCAATTTGATTCTTTTCACCGTTGCTTCCTCTTGACGTTCTTAAATCGAGTTGAAACACATATATACAAAATCATATACGTATATATAATTAATGGATAAGCGAGTAAGCTATAATACCTTTAAGTCTTGCATTCTCTTTTTCCATTCGTATCAGTATCACTTGTTGATTAATCGCTTTCTTCCACAGATCCCTGAGTTCTTCCCTCGTTCTGTGCGTAGCAACAGCACGAGGTGTCTCATTGACATTAGAATTCTCAGATTTTCCATTATTCTTATCGTGTTCTTTATTCGGTGTTACCACTCTATGTAATATCGCCTGTCTCCACGAACTATTCGAATGCATTTCGGTATTTCCATCGCATTCTGTAGGCGACATTTTCGGCGAATTTCCTACTTTCAGGAAGCTGCATAAAATAAGGGAAAAAAAGAAAAATGGTATTAAGTTTTTAAGAATTTGTTTTTAAGAAATAATTGTACTTACATATCCATCATGGAACTTCGTGGTCCCGTATTCACAGATAACTGTTGTTCCGGAGATACTCGCAACGATCTCGGTCTGCTAAACGTTTCAGTCGATGACTCGCCTATCGACGATTGACGTGAATTATCGGGACTCTGGCTGCCGCTCTTTTGTAATGCGGTGTTGAGATGATTAGAATCCTTCACATGCGATACGAGTCCAAAGTCTTCTCGCGAACCCTTCCGTTTCATAAGATTATCGAAGCTATTAGTCAGAGAACGTTTCGCTTTCATGAATATCGTACTGCCAACGCCTACACTGAGATACTGATTCAAAAATTCGCTTCTGAAAATTTATTAAATATTACATACATTTGTTCACTCGTATTTTATATTCACGTAATAATCTTATACCTATTCTCTGCTGTATCGTGAACGTGTCTAGCTTGTTTAGCCTCGCAATGAGCACGTAATAATCTAATGAGAAATTGGTTTTGTTCGCGCAAACTCGAACCCGCACCAGAACCTCCACCGATTGCCTCAGCACCTTTGTATTTGTTGACAACGATCTCCTGCTCGTCTTCCGGCAATTGCTCCATTCGAGAGAATATTATATTTTGTGTTCGTCGATCGTTTTGACCTGAAATAAAGAAGGATAGAAACCATTCATCTCCTATGATTCGAGATAAGAGATTTACGAGAAAATTACCTTCTATCTCTTGACACAGTTTATTATACCAAAACATGGGACAGTGTTCGCAAGAGAATACAGGGTATCTTTCCTTCCTTGTACCATCGCAGGTTGCAACGAATGCTTGGGTGATGGCTATTGGACAGGACGTAGAAAATAATAAGGAGACACAAGTCGAGCAATTAAGTTTTATGTTTCTCGAATGAGAAAGTTTCATCTTACCTGCAACGAGATCGTCGGCAACGGATTCGGATTGACACTTGAATATATAACCAACGAAACTATCTATCATTATTTCCCTACAGATGAATCCAAAGTGTTCGGAATTCTTTGCACCCTGTACGCAACTCGCTACATCTTTGATTTGTTTGTGAAGCAAAACCTGCTTCCTGTCAGGGCTGATCAATCTCAAATCGGTTCTACCCACCTACGATGGGAGGATACATAGACTATTAAAATGTAATATCAGAAAAGATCGATTGACCGTCCGAATCATCTTTTCTTACCTGAAATAGCATAGTTCGATTATGCTCGTCGCCGGTCTTTGGACTGGAATCTCTTCTGCTTGTTAAGACGTTACTCATCGAACCAGCACGATTTCTCATAACTGCTGGCACCTGTATATTACCTCCGCAGTTATTGTCAATAGTCGTTGCAGATGTTCCGCTTTGACTACCGTTACCATTGTCTTCAAATCTCGAGGAAGAAGAAGCAACCATTGCCGCAATCGTTAATGTTGCCATCGAGCCATGTCTAGACACATTTTCTACACTGCCCGTTTCGCTGGTACTCGATTCCTAACAGATCGATTAGGCTATGATTATGCTATACATAAGCACGACGACAAGGAAAAGACAATGAGAACAAATTTTTCATGTTGCAATTCAATGTATAGTCAAATAAATTTTATTGAGCTTATCTCAATCGTTAACAAAGATCTAATATCAAATTTGGAAATACCTAAACGATAGCTATAACGATAGCTATCATGGCTGAAGCAATTTTTTTTCTCCCACTCACCGTACTGTTCCTTCTATTACTAGAAAGGAGTAAAGCACCCGCAGAAGACTTTGATTTTTCGAGTCCATGAGAGCGAAATCTGAGCAGGGCATCGTCGATGAAAGATTCGGATACCTTTGGATGGGAGACTCTGATTTTACCGACGTAGAGTACCTGAAAGAGAGCGATCAGCTGGATAATAATGATAAAAAAAAAGAAAAAAAAAGAAAAAAAATAGAAGAAAAAATCAACGAATATAAAACAACTGAAAGAGAATTCTCGATCGAATTACTACCTCGAAAAAATGGGAAGAACTAGGAGATATGTCCGCGCCGATCGACATTAAACTGGCAGCACTGCTATATGATTTTTGAGGAGGATCCTTGTCCCTTTCGACTTTCGAAGAAGCCGAGTGTTCCTTCATTTCTCCTAAAAATGTTTGGGTCTGCAATTTGAAGAATCATTTGTTAGTAACAAATACTAACAAGTTGAGAAATATTTAGCGAGTCCATCTAGCGAATCAGGCAACGATCCAACATGTTCTCGGAATTGATTTATAAAACACGCATCCTTTGTATTCCCATTAGACGTTACATACGTTATGTGTTACATAACGAAAAGGCCTACGTTTATGATATTAATGACGGGTAAATTGAAGAATCCCTCTTTTCTTGATTACATTTCGTTCATCGAAATAAAAGGATAGAAATAATATTGAATCGGTAATGTTGCTTGTAGCCACGTAGATAAAAGATAATAAAAAGTATTTCGCAAGGAAACGCAGAGGGAACGTGAAGAAAACGTGGAGGGAACGTGGAGGGCGACCGTGGGGACCAAAATAACTTGCTCGAGGAGCACTCGTCGACCGCATGGCTCCGTTGTTCCCTCCCTCCCTCCCTCCCTCTCTCTCTCTCTCTCTCTCTCTCTCTCTCTCTCTCTCTCTCTCTCTCTCTCTCTCCGCAAACCCTCTTCCATCTTCTAACTCTTTTTCATGAAATTCCACCTAGCCAAATTATTTTTCTCTCTTTCGACTTTTCGCTCGTTTCTCCGTCGTTCCGAATCTTTTTACTTTATCGCTGACACAGAAAGCAGATCGTTAGTCCGTAAACAGGGCTTCTCTTATCCAATTAGAAAGCAAGCTTTTTCTTTTACTTGTAACCGTTCGCTTCAACGTACTCTAGTCACATATGACAGAGGAAACTCTCTTGGATCTACGATCTCTATAATATTTTACAATCAATTTTTATATAGCTCAACCGAACCTGATGATATAGGATAAGAAGGAATTGAATAAGATGCAACTCATCGTTCTCTTTCTTCTAACAGTAAATGATCAAAGTAGCGTATTTATAGTCTACGTTAAAAGTAGAATATCACGGATCGGTATCGTGAACAATTGATTGAATTCACGTGAAAAATCAGAACAAGATCGAATCACGGATCGATGATTTCTCCTCTCTTCTTTCGTCGTAACGTTAACTCTACGTTACGTAGTCTTTCATTCTGATCGATGTAATCGCACAAATACGACGTCAAAGCCAAACTAATTGTTCGGTCGCATTGCCTCTTCAGTGGTCAAGGATGAAACGTTTTGCGTTACAAGAAGTAAGCGTATTTCGATGAACAAAAAAAAAAGGAGGAAGGAGGAGAGAGAGGGAGAGAGATGATTTTTTTATTCTCTGTTAACTATGAAATGTTAATCAAGCTTTAGATCGATCTCGAGTAGAAAACATACGAGATAAAACGCGACGTTACGTGACGATTTCTTTTTGCGTGCGCTCCAAAGAGAGAAAGAAAGAAACAATTACGACCTACGATCCTACGTTCTATCTTTTTTATCCATCTCTCATTCCTTCCCATCATCTTAACATCCTTCAACGATATCAAGGATCGTCTTGGTATATTTTCCGTTCGAATGTCCGACCAACTCTGAGGAATAAATTATTTGCTTTCGAGTTAAAGTTCGAATACTTTCGCAAGGCGGTCTAAGGAGAAGGGTGACACTCTCTATCTGATGAGCGCAACAGCAAGTCGAGTGCGCGATCGGCCTAGAATCTAATAATAATATACAGGTTGGTTGATCGTTCGTAACTCTTTCACAATTTCGCGTAGCTTCGTTCCTTAAAGATTTTTTTCGTATACGACGAACCATCCCTTGCATAAGAGCTCCATTCTCGTACTCGAAATAAAGATCAATTCACACGTAAAAAGAATGAATTATAAGATAACAAAATTTACGAAATATCACGATCGAGTTTGACGAGTAAATTTCTAATCTTTTCTCTATTTTTATTCCTTCTTTTTTCTTTTTTCTTTTTCTTTTTCTTTTTTCCATCAACTACTTGAAATATTCAAAAACGTGCGCGCTTTGCGCTCCGTTGCACACCGCTACGCAAGACTAAGCTTCCATCTACACCTACGAGTCCACGTTTTCCCTGTTTGTTAGTATAATGCGCTTAGTAGAGGCGATACGTAATCGTCTCTACTGATTCTTACGTAATTCGACTTTCAATTTATCCGTGCGAACGGACTAGAAAACGAGCTTTTCTTTCGCCTTCACATAAAGACACTCACCGAAGGTCTTTTATAGCCGATGGCGCAGGCGTCACTTCGAGACGCCATCTTTACGTCTTATTTACCGGTGAAGAAAATCGCTACGCTTGTCATTTTTTTTACTTCTCCGATTCTTCAATCAGACGTCCAAATCTTATTTGCTTTCTTTACTTTTGCAGGAGTATCTTCTGAATCGTACGATGAATTAACGATCGGCAATTGTTCCTTGAAATCGTAGAGCTCTTTTTTTCACAATAAACGAAGTTTTTCTCACTCTTCTGATCTCGATCTTCTGATGACGATAATAGGATCATGGGTCTTTGATTTCATCAAATTCCATTGAGATTCAATTATATCTTGATTTTTTTTCCTTCGATCATTAGCACAGATCTCGAAGATAGTCTTGAAACTCGACGAAAGTAAACATTGTTTTAAACAAATAACATTTCTTCTACAAAAAAAAAAAAAAAGAAAGAAAAAGAAAGAAAAGAAAAAGAAATCAAGAGGCGTCGAAGAATTTCTTTCTCCTTTTGGTTGATTATTTTCTTCTCGGCATACCACTCGAAGCTAAAACCGTTCGCGACGAGAGAAACGGTACATCTCGAACATGCAACGCTTCAGCGTCGACTGACTCAAACGAGCGAGTCTATGAATTTCGACGCGACGAATCGAACGCCTCCGACCGCGATCTTTCTATGATTTGACTAAATGACAAATCTCTCGCAATGATTGCCAAGCGAGTAGAAAATAAACTAAATCCATCAAATCATTTTGAATATGAATTATCTTTCTTTATATCGAAATAAATAAATTTTTTTTCGTTTCCAAGTCATCTCGATTCTTTGTTACGCGCCTACGCGACCTTGCCTATTGAAATTTTGGCATAAACAAGCATGACATTGCTTGAGATTCTCTTCTATAGTATTTTTAGTCTTTGCACTTATTTGTGTTTCCTTTGAACGCGAGCGACTGATCCCAACGCAACTCTGCTTTCTCGATCGCAAATAATTAAATACTTTCTTCTGATGTCAGAATCTTACATATCCGGCATATTCAAGGCAAAGAAATAAAGTAAAATCGGTTACGTGCGAAATGGACAATCTATAAACGGAGAATGAAGGATAAAGTCGTGCTCGTATATACATATGTACATATACGTAAATAATAGATATATAACAACAACGAATGAGAATGACGATTATCGCGAGAGACACGTTCGTAATACAATGCCGTTCGCTTCGTATCGCGTAAAAGGCTATTCCCAAGATAAAAACGAAAAATGCAAGCATTTAAGGAATTAAGTATTATATACACATCACGTATGTTACTGGCGACATTAATAGCGAGCTTATAAAATATTGTTATTGCTGTATAACTCGTACGTATATTGTTATTGTATATATATATATATATATATATATATATATATATATATATATATATATATATATATATGAAATATAGGAGAGGAGAGTTAACCAGAGTGGCCGCGTAATCGGTAATTTTAAATCGTCTTCTTCTACGACTCCTTCCTCTTGTTAATTTTGCCGAGTTAGGCGAAGAAACGTAACAAGAACGGCACGTAGGAAGGAGCTAGGGCCAAAAAGTCAAGTATACTATCGTTAAAGCAGACCGCCGACGCGAAATAAGAAGAAGAAGAAGAATAAGAAGAAGATGACGATTATTTTAAATAAGAGGAACATTTTCTTTTGAATCTTTCGAATCAGTGTACTCAACGATGCTTCACAGTTTATGGCAAGAAAAATAAACAGGTAGACGAGAAGGGAGGAGGCATTTAAAAATAGATGACTCTTCGTCGTTGTTGTCGTCGATTTTTGTCTGTCGTTGATTTTTGCCTGTCGTTGATTTTTGCCTGTCGTCGACGGTCGTCGACGGTCGTCGTCGTTGTCAAGCAAAGAAGAGATAGATGAGTACCTTGATTCCTCGGTGCATAACCGCGTTCTTACGCAATTGATGCGCACGAACTCAACGAATGTTGATAGAAAGACAAGCATACTTTAGTTAAAAATAAAATAGGTTATAAAGGAAGATAATCTCAAAACAAAAGTTAAATAAAATTATCTTTTTTTTTCTTTCTCTGTAGAAAAGAAACGTGCGAATGAGATTGGAGTAAAGCCATGTGGTTCGAGTTTAGAATCGAACGTAACTAAGTACATAATTTACCGCCTGTTATCAATTTCGATCGATCGAGATCGAAAGTATTTACGATGTCTCTGTATAATTGCAGAAGGATAGATAAAGTTTTTACATATCTACGATTTATATCATTTAATCCCTAAAACGTAAAAGCGATAGGATAGATTCAATGACATATTTTGCACGGAAAAAGGAACTTAAATAACTGGCTTAAATAAATAGCTGGTTTGTCCCATTTTGTTATAAGCCTACCTGGTATTTTTGTGCACGAAGAAGAAACTTGGACGAAGGGAGGATGAAAACGAAGACGAAGGAAAACGTTCCTCTCGGCGAATACAGCCTCCAAGGAATGATATGCGAGAAATCTCGAATGCAACTTTCACCGGATTACTGGCACGCAAAGTCGCACGGCGTCGTCGAACGTGTAACACCTTTGAAATACTAATTCTAAACCAAGAACAAGAATTGTCCAACTTTGATCCAGGAAATATCAAGCTAACGCTTAAAATCATCCGATTCCGTTCGCTTAATGATAGCTAATGATTTATCTCTTTCGATCCTGTCGAACTTTAAGGACAGACTTAATAATAGTCAAATAGAAAAAGTAAATTGTGCGATAGTGTTACAACATTCATAGTTATAGATGCATAGGTGCACACACCGCAAACGTTTATTGGTCGACGAGAGAACGTTCTTTCTCGATTGGTTACTTTGCAAAGTGTATCACGATCGTATCAACCTAAAACTCTAAACCATATATCAGACATATGTATATACATACGTATATACGAATGCATTGGGATGCCTCATTGGAATGCATATGAATGCATGCGGTACGACTATCGCCGAATTGAATTGCGTGTTTCCTCTAAAAGAACGTTTCTCCTTCGAAATACGATTTTTATATACGATCAAAGAGCAAAAATCAATCTTAACATTCTACTTCTTCTTTTCTACATTGGAAACTAGAATTTAGCATAACAAGTTTCACCGTAGAGAATGTTTTTTAATAGCTAACACAACATATTACGATGCATTCCGTGACATGTAAATTATGCATAAATTTCCTGAACGAACATACATATACATGTACATATACATATATATATATACATATATATTCTAGCCAAAACATTTAAAAAATTATCTACAAAGATATGATATCTCTTTATTGTACTTCTTAAAGATTATCAACATTCCTCTAGAGTAAGAAAAAAATTAAAAAAAGAACAAAGAAAGAAAAGAAAGATTTTTTTTTTATTGGGCGCGGTCGGATATCAACAAATTTTTCTATATGATCGATCATCTTGATATAGATACAAACTTGTAAACAATGTAACGAAACATAAATAAACTTCACCTTCGCGACGCTTGTTTATTAGCAACGGATTTGAAAGATGTGAAATACATGTCGCTTCTCCCTCCCTCTCTCTCTCTCTCTCTCTCTCTCTCTCTCTCTCTCACACTCTCTCAGGATTGTTTACAATACTAGTTTAGCGCAAACAGCTGGAAAGTGAAGGACATAACCTACCGCTTTAGATTTTTTTCAATGTACTATAAAGGATCGCATATTGATGTAAATAAGTGATCGTCTTTTTTGTTTACCTTTGTACAGTCTGCCAGGTAACGTGAGACTTCGCTCGTCGAATAAATCGTATGCGTTATACGAAACTCTTGTTCTCTTTGTTTTTCTCGTGTATCTACACCTAAGTTCTAGTGTACTATTAATGATCACGCTCCACTACATTTCGTTGATTTTCGAACGATGAACTCTTTCTACAAATCGACGTAATTTTTCTTCTTGAATGATTCTCGAATACACATAGCATCTCGATTCACAAAGAAGCAGTAAGAATGGCATACATATGTCAAGTATGCTCTGAACTGTACGGCGAAACGTATGTTACTATCCGCCGTTCCAATTCACTTCTATTTATTCACTATTTTCCGTCACATTTTGTCAGTAGGTGGCGCAAGATGAAAAAATCTGAAAATGTCAGTCGATCTGTTTCGTTTCTTTAAAAGGTTTGTCGTTTTTCTCCTACGTCTCTATTCTTTTTATCCTTTTTATTTGAACATTTTTATTGTCATTATATTTATATTCTATTTGATCAAATGATTTTGATCCAATACACATTGACTTAACCTCTTGTTCCTACTTAAGATTATGTTATATTGTCGGTCATCCAACAAGAAGACATAAAAAAAACTTATGCGCTATATTAAAACTTAATATCAAATCTTTTTACAATAACATTCATTTAAAAGCTTTGTAAATTTCAAATTATGTTCTGTGAAATAATATTATAGTTCTTCTGCCTGATTTCGTCGTTGAAAAGCTATAAAAAGATTCTTAACAAAAATTTGTTTGCATTATATATAAAGAACATACAATTTATTTGTCATTTTGTGTTATAGATTTGAATAAAACATTGTAATGGATTCTATTGTCAAAAAAGAGAAATTTAAACAAACATGCAATCTTTTTAAAATTACTATCACTTAAGAACTTCACAAACTTAAGTTCTTAATGGTAATTTTTATCTCATAACTTTTTTATGTGATTTCATTGATGAGACATCGTTAAAATATTCTTATCATCGAATGTAGAGATAGCCAACTAATTCTTACGTTTTATCATATTTAGAAAAATTAACATTATGCTAAAATAAAACTATTATTGAAATGAAATTATAAGTATCTATAATAAACACTTCTTTATTATATTAAAACAGTAATGATATTTAATGTTTCAGGAAAACTTTATGCCAGGCTTAAATACACAGTACACAGTCCTATTGAACTTTTATTTTCTTTTATTATTATATTAAGAAAAAGGAATCGTGTGTGTTATAATTAATTTAAAGATTAGAATTAACCATTATTGTCAGATGCTTCAAATTATTATCTTTCTTACATGTATCTAACTATTAGTTCAATTGCTTTGTAAATTTTTGTATTTTTATGTAGAAAAATTTTATAATTGATAGTAATGAAGAATGTCAAACTTAATTCTTCAAACTTAATAAAGAACAAATTCCAAACATTTAGATATTAAAAATATCCTGTAGACAGTTAATATATTATAAAAGTTCACAAAAAGTGCTTAATAATAATTAATTTTATAATTAAAAGTATTTATGAATAAGTAGATTAGATAAATAGATTAATAATTAAAACTATTATTTATGCAACTTCCATATCTAAATTATAAACATTTAGATATGAAAAATATTCTATAGTCTTTCTAGAACAAGATCATGTCATAAAAGTTCATGAAAAGGGATTAGTAATTAAAGACGGTCATTATGTCTTAACATGCCTTAAGCACATACAATTGTCAGTATACCTATATATATATATACATATATATATATATATATGAGAGTCACTAATTTTTGGTCCTCATATTGTCGGAAAAATTTCGATTTCATAACAGGAACACATGACAATGATGGAGTTCGAGTAAGTACAGTTCACATACATTAATTATCATAATGAGGACGGTTCACTGATATTATTTTTTAATTAACAAATAAAAGACGGACACACAAGATGGCGCAAGAGGTCACTTTTAAACATATCAAAAAAAGTTCACTTTCAAAGTTCTTCATCACCCTTGTTCATTACCGAGCTGGATTTCTTTCAAATTCCGATGAGTGATCATCGAAACTCTCTCTTTTAAATGAATACTTTTGATAATTTTTGAATCATTTCTAGTCTCTAATGTAGACGGAATCCAATGAACTAACATTTAACCATTAAAAAGATAGATACGCTCGAGAAACATAAAATAATTTTAATATAAAATTCCAATACTTAAAAATTTTTATCTCGAGATAATTGGTCTTGTGCAATTTAAACACTTTCCCACTTTTTCTTAACTTTGACTATTACCGAGTTAGTTTTCTTTAGTTTTACAATTTCCGTTAGGTGCCGACACATGTATCGTCTTTGCTCTTTTTAAATCGGCATCCATGATCAGCTGATAATACCATGCAGTAGAACTCCACTACTCTCATGTATCCCTGTTAAGAAATCGGAATTTTTGCGACAATATGGCGGCCATTTAGTGACCTTCGTATATATAGATATACTGGCAATGTTAATGCCGCACAAAACGCATTAAAAATTATTTTCCTTCGTTATCAGGCACTTTTTATGAACTTTTCTGATATCACCTCGTTCTAAAAGGGATACGGAATATTTTAAATATCTAAATGTTTATATTTAGAATTATCAGAAATTGCATTAATAATATTTTTAATCAGTTATGTGTCACTTGTAAAAATTATAATATCATTAATCATAATTTTCAATGTACACGTAGTACAATGAACTAATATTTAAATAATAATACATTCGGTTAAACATTTCAAAGGGACTACTGATGGAAGGGAAACTCGAACGTATGGACCATGAAAAATGAACAACCATAGATACGATATTATATTAAAGATAAAGGAGAATTTATTATTTACATTATTATCACATTATTCGAATCATATCAATACCTTAGACATATAAGGGCCGTCCAATTCGTAACCCATTTTTCTGTAATAATTTCTTGTACCAACGCCCGAGATAACAGCAATTTTATGAGATCTGTGTTCTTCTTTCGCAATGCGTTCTGCTTCTTCCATTAGAAGCATTCCAAAACCTTGATGTTGAAATTTGGTAGGATCACGCGCATGAACGGGTACTACACTACCATAAACATGTAATTCTCTTACTATCGAGCATTTATTTTTCAATTCGGATCTGTAAAAGTAAGCGTTTTTTTGAATTGAAGAAAATGTCCCTGTAGATAGAATAAAATTCAATTACCTAAAGGTATCCGGGGAACATTTTCTTAGACGAAGCAAACCAATTAAAATGTCTTGCATAGGATCTTCGTAAGAAAGAAACGTTTCCCATCCATTGTTGGCAACGTAATCACGACGTATTAATTCGACTTCGTACGGCTGAACTTTATTATGTATCTCCTGTATTCCTACTTCACGCGTACGGACATCACGACAATCGGTACCTAAGTCTTTCATTTTAGCTAATGCCAATTCACGTAGATTACCATGTTCCACGCCAGAACTATAAAGGTTTTGTAAATGATATAAATCATCCAAGATATGATACGTGATAATCACGTAAACAACGTTACCTGACCAAAGGCATTGGTATATCTCTTTGTACGCGGTAGACACGCGTCCACGGCGGTATTAAAGACAAAATGCGTGCTATTAAGTCAATCAAAACGGTCGGTGTATAACTCTTGTATCTACCAGTTTTCCATAATTCGTACAATCCAGTACCACGTATCACTAACGTTGGATAGATCTTTAAGCCGTCCGTTCGAAAAGTAGGATTTTCAAAGAATTCCTGTATAAATTATATAAATATTTCATTAGTATCGGACATATAATATAGGAATTTAGTAACGTACAATGAATTGTTCAATGTCTCTTTCGATATCGACATTCGGTAAATCTGGCATCATGTGCGCTATAACTTTGAAACCTGCATCTTTTGATAATTGGAAACTTTCGCATACTGCACGAACGGTATGTCCTCTGTTTGTGTCCCGTGCAACGTCCTCGTATACGGATTGTACGCCGATCTCAAGACGCGTGCACCTAGAGCATCAATGAGAGAGCGACCTAACGATTAACGATTAAATCGTACTCACGCGTGATCGATGATAATTGAATAATTAAGTTATATATACCCATAGCGCAGCATATCCGACAAGTGCTTTTTTAAACAATAATCCGGTCGTGTCTCGATGGTTATACCAATGCATTTTGTACGACTCCGTTCCGAATACTTGACTGCTTCATCTACGTTATTGCTTATATGGCCGGATAAAGCATCGTGTAAATTCCGTATGAAATAATCCCTATAATCCTCTGGCAAGGACATAAACGTTCCACCCATCACGATAAATTCGACTTTATCGACACTATGTCCTAATTGTTTCAACTATTTAACGTGAATAATATTGTATTAAAGAATTTAATGGTACGATAACAGAAGATATTTATCATACTTGTTCCATACGATGTCTCGTTTGTAAAAACGGATTATATCTTGCACGTATAGCTCTCATAGATGTAGGCTCATAACCGGTATATGATTGCGTAGAATACTCAAAATCAGAATCTGGACCACCAGGGCAATATACGCAAATGTTTCCTGTCATATTGATATGGGGACATCTGTGCGGTTTGCACATAACGGCTACCACTGCTATCTTTAAAGAAACGATTATTTATTATTGTGTCTATTATAGCAAGTGCTAAAGTTTTATATAGTTTTACGATGTAGAAACGAACCCCGCTAGCTGTCCTAATAGGTTTGGCCTTTAATTTAGGCACTAAAATGTTTCTTGCATCTGCAGGTACGGCAGCTATTATGTCGACTAACCTAGGAGATCTATCCAGGCCATATTTCGAAGATATACGTGTTTTTAATTTATTCAAATCGACATCTCTATTATCTCGATGAGCTTTCAATAATTCTTGTATAATTTCTCCAATCGTGATAACCATACGTTCCTCCTTGCTTTGTGTGAAATCTATTGAGAGAATTATTATGGTAAATTACGGTATGACAAATTTATCAAAAGTACTTCACAGATATTAATCTGTGATAAAATTAATCTACGTACCTTTCGCTTTGCGAACCATGATTATGTGCACAACTTTCCAAAAGTCTTCCTTTTATAAATAACCTTAACAACGTTAAAACGTTTGATTTCTCATTTGATCATTCCCCAAACCGTTGAACATTAAATTCCGAAGATGAGTAACTACTGTTTGACCATAAGCATTGCTTTATGATTATGTGCACGATGGTAAGATGGCGTTAGTATGGAAAAATAGAAAATCACGCTTTAAGTTAAATATCCTCGTTTATTTTATCATTT